ATTAGATAACCTATACTAATAGATTGAATAGGACAGTTAATTGTTCTTTATTTTAGGATTGAAGTAATTCATACCTATGAAAACTTAATTAGTATCTTAGGAAATTTGTAATAATAATCTTAAATAAGAAAAATTATTTTAAACTATTTTGAAACACAATTATAAAACTTGTTTTGTGATTGACACATATGAAGAATTAATGTCCTTTTTAAGAACTTACCACATAACATAAAAAAATTCAACTAATTTATTCCTAGAAGTCAATTCAATTCACTATAAATTTAGATAATCTATTCAAAATTTAATAGAAAAATAAAATATTTTTGAACCTTCTTAGTAAAAATTTATTGAAAATTTTATTGTTATAAATGCTGAAACACTTGAAGCAATTGTAAAAGATGATTACTTAAAATATCATTTTGTTGTCCTCTTTTATTTTTCATAAGGAGTTGGAGCTTATTAATTAGATGAGAAATAGAAAGGAAAACTTTTAAAATTAATAACAATTACTGAAAGATATATCACTTCTATTGGTTCAGGATTAGACAATTAATATTTTTTTTATAAATCTAATTACTCCTTTAATTTATTAACTTAAGATCCATAATGTGCACTTTCTAATCCAAATTTCTTAATCACGAAAGTTGATTAAATGTTCAAATTACTATTTTTTTATTGCCCTTCCACTTATTTAAATTATGAAGCTATAATTTTAATCTAAATCTATAGAGGATTTTTATTTGGGTTTTTAACTTATATTATAGATTATTAAAACCCATTTCACACATTAAATGAATTAATTTTTTTTTACTTAGTCCCATGCAATATAGCTACATGTATTTTAAATTATGAAAATTTCACTCCTTAAAACAAATTTGATAATAATTAATTCGAAATATATAGAATGAGATTGGAGCTCATAAAAAATGGTAATATTTATCTGAAAATAATTAAAATAATCTTTATAGCATTGATAGATTCTATTTGTTTTAATATATTTGATATATTCCAAAGCTAAGAATTGGAAAACTATTCGTTGTTTATGTTCATAATCCTCGAACTAATTGAAAAGCAAAAATATTTTATAACAAAATTAAACTCATATTATGACTTAGGAAAAATGCTAAAGTAAACATTCTCTTACATAATTGTATTACTTTTATTAGCATTAGTATATGGTCTTGTTATCACAGATATTATTTATTAATTATCAAACATAAATTTTATTTTTTGGATATTTGGATTAATTTTTGCATTATCAATCTCTTATGTATTACAAAAAATGTTAATTACAACAGAATTTAGCTTCCCTTGCAATAATGATATCCAATTTCATATTGAACATTAAAATGAGATAAAGTAACTCTATGAATTTTTAAAATAATTGAACAAAAACAATTCAAATGAAGCAAAATAATTTATAGAAAAATTATTTGAAGGAAAGGATTTTATGGATGAATGTCTTTTAAAGAAAATTAAGGGAGATTAATAAATGACTGATCAAATGGAAAAAGACTTAAAATTTACAGATAAAATAACAGAAAAGGATTTTCTAAATTCACTCAAACCATAAAATAAATATATTTTTTCTATTTACGAATTAACTATATTTGGAATTAGAATCTATTAATAAATCAGCAATCTTCAGATAGCTTATCTAGTGATTTCTGTAGTTTAGTTTGTAATAATGAGTCTGTTACCATTAATTTAAATATCTAAATTTAAACCTTTAGTCTTAATTAGTTTAAGATTGTTATTTTTTATTGTTCTACATGCATTATTGGATACTAATTTAAATGAAACTTTAATGTTTATGATTTCTATTTCTTTGGCTCACCATCCGTTGTTAGGAATTTATGGATACTATTGTGTCTGTTTTATTTCAACAGTATTAGATATGTTCATGGTAGGAATATTTAATGAAGCTAATCCCTATTATATTCTAAATCATGGATTAATTCTTGTAGAGATTAGCCTTCCATTAATATTTCAGGTTTACAAAACAGAATTCCTATAAAGATATTAATATATCTTGTAAAATAAACTATTAGATGAGTATAAAAAGCTAAATGATGCCCTGGGTTTGTTGATGCCACGATTCATTAAAGAAAGAATGTCAAAAGGATAGATATAAATATCAGAAGATCAAGGAGATGTTGCCATTTTATTTTGCGATATTTATGATTTTGATGACATTATCAGAAATGAATAAATCAAAGTTGTCGAATTTTTAGATAATTTGTATCGTTAATTTGATTAATTCTGTTAAGCAAATGAATTGTAAAAAATTGAAACGGTAGGTAAGACCTATATGGCAGCAGGTGGCTTGAAGGATTATAATATGTCTGATAATTTGAATCCAACAGAAAGAATTTTAGATGCTGCTCTTTAGATGCAGGAAAGTGTTAAAACTATGAAATATGGAGATAAAAAGGCTGTTGTTCTTAAAATTGGTATACACTATGGTAGAGTTATTGCTGGAGTAATAGGTGCTCATAAGCCATAGTTTTCATTAATAGGAGATACTGTTAATACAACAAGTAGAGTTTGTTCAACATCTGAACCAGGAATTATAACTCTAAGTTAGTAAGCTTATGAAAAGGTTAGTAATAAAAAATACTAATTTAAATTAAGAGAGGTTGAAGCTAAAGGTAAGGGAACTATAAAAACATATTAGTTTATTAAAAGCAATAAAAAATAATAGTAAGCTATTCTTAAGGTTGCTGATGATGTTTCTAAATCTCCAAATCCACATTTATAAAATTAGATGTTCAAAAAAATACAAGAAAATTTGAAGAGTAAGCAAAGCACTATTTTAAAAAAAGTTTCTTTAAATGAAGAAAGACAAGATGCAGGTCCAATAACTATATAAAATACTAATGTGAATGTAAATACAAAGTTAATACCTAATGCAACTCCTTAATCAATATAACCAATGATAAGAGCATCTTCGAGGTCAGTATTTAATTCTTCATACTAAATGGGATTACTTACACCAAATGAATAAGAATAAGATAATATCAATAATAATAATAATAATAATAATAATAATAATAATAATAATAATAATAATAACAATAATATAAATATTAATAATATTAATAATAATAATAATATTATTATTAATAACAATAGTAACAATAATAATAACAATAATAACAATATAAATAAATTTGAAGAAAAAGAAAAATTTAATATTAATATTATTTAAGGAGATGGATTAAAATCAAGTATTCCTCTAGGAGGCTATGTTGCAGTAGGCTCGTATACAAAAAGAATTTCAAATCTAGCCTTAGAATTAAATGCTACTAAATCAAGAAAAACAGTATATAAAAGAGCTGGTACTAAAACAAATATAACTGATTAAGAGCAGCTCTTAGGAATGGGTACAAGTGGTTAAAAAATGGCGGAAAGTGTAAAAGTTGAGTTGCCTGGTGTAAAAAGAAAGAGAACAAGAATAATTATTGAAAAATAAATGGATTTTATAGATAGGATTGAATCTTTATCAGCTCACAAAACCCCAAAAGAGTTGAAAATCTAATCCCATATGGATGAATTGGAAATAAGAAAACTAATTGATATAGAGGATAGCATTTATTAAAATGAATTTGATCTAAAAAATGTGGAAGAAAAGGTTGAATTATAAAAGTATGGTATTTAAGAATCTGATTATAAAAGTGATAGTCATGACACATACTTTTCCATATATGATCAATATAAGGATTTTGATATAAAATAGGTAAAGATTTTTATTGTTTTTATTGTAATATTATTGATAATAAAGAATTTGTTCTATTATTTATTATCAACAATTAATGAAAGATTATAGGTGATAATTATTTGTTAGTCAGTAATTAGTTTGATGCTTTCAATAATAATTTATCATTTAAAGAAGATATTAGCGTTGAAATTACTTATAGGATTCTATTTTCTAATATTTTGCATAATAAATATTTTAATTATCTATATTCATAATATAGAAATGGAAATAATCTTTTAGATAAGTCAAATAACTGCTGTTTATTTGAACTTAATTTATTTATAGATTTACAATCGAATGGATCGAATCAAATTATCTGCTGCATACACAATATTAATCTTAATCAATTTATTATATAATGAATATATTTTGGATATTATTCTTTTTACGGTTTGCATACTAGTTTCAAGTTTGATTATTCAAGAAAAGGAGTTGAAATTATTAGCTGAAAATTATTAATGCTTTTCACAATTTGAATCCAAAAATGCAAAATAAACTTAGATTTTATAATATCTATTGCCATAACACATAATAGGTAGATTCTTTTCAACAGACATCACTACAACAGACAACTTCACTGATGTTTTTGAAAGTTGTACTATTCTGTTTGCTGATATTGCAGGATTTACAAAATATTCGAGTTCAGTTGAGCCAGAATAAGTAGTTAATATGCTCAGAATATTATTTCAATAATTTGATGAAGCCTGCCAAAAATTTCAAGTTTACAAATTATACACAATTGGTGATTGCTATGTGTGTATGGGTATTATAGATGCAAATAACAGAGATCCTGTTGGAGAAGTATTTAAATTATTTATTTAATAGGCAATTAATGTTGTTCTATTTGGATTAAAAATGATACAGATTATCCAATAGATTAATAAAGACCCTTAGTTTTAACACTTAAATATGAGGATTGGAGCCCATACAGGGAGAGTGATAGGAGGTGTTGTAGGAACAGATGTTGTTAGGTATGATATTTATGGAGAAGATGTTACAACAGCCAACAAGATGGAATCAAAGGGACAAGAAGGTAAAATAATGGTAAGCTAAGCAACAAAGGATTTGATAGAAAGTGATGATGAATGCATTGGTATTTTCGATTTTGAATTTGCTTAAGATGTTTATTTGTCTTAAAATAATACTACAATATCTACTTATTTTGTAAACTTTGATTAAAATGGCGATGATTAATGAATCATTATTATATTTTAAATTAAACTAATCTTTATTATACATGATTTCATTTATTTTTCTTAATCTTCTTAACATCACTCGGAAGGATAGACTCATACAAATCATTGGCTTTTTTGAGTTTATCTAATTGAGTTTATTATTAATTCCATCCAAAGTTTATTCTATCTGGTTCTTCATAAGTTCCCATTATTCTATCCCAAACTGATGTGAATTTACCAATATTTTTCATCCCACCTGGTCCAGGTTCATGATGAATTGTATGGTGAGTACTATATAATAAAAATTTGAATGGTAAAGCTGGAACATTATCATGAATTGAAATAGCCTTGATTTTAATAATATTTAAATTTACCCAAGAGGTTGTACATAAACCAAAGAAAAGGAACAAATTCATGTGAATTGGGAAGATAAAACATGAGGTGAACATAGGAACTGCTTAAGCAAATGCATCTAATGGATGAAATGCGAATCCGCTGAATGGGGTTATATCTTTTGAAAAATGATGGATTCTGTGCAATTTAATGTATAAATAAGGATATGTATGTAGCCATCTATGGACCCAATATCTAATAATTATGATAATTTAATACGTCAATGTTTCGTCATACATAATATGTAAAATTATACTTATAGGAATATACCAATATCCATAATCACTAATATTATAATACATTAAACTGAATCTTGGTTAAGCAACTCTTATTATGGAGACTAGGAAGGTCTCAAAAAACATGTTAATCAATGACCATTTGATATCATAGTAGATATAGAATTTGGCATTTAATTTTGGTAAATAAAGTTGTTTATTCTTTTTGAAAAAGTAATAATAAGATGAGCACGATAGAGTGAAGTATAAGGCCAATGCAAATAAAAATGTTTAGCACACTGTTGAGATATATTCACCAACAATTCCATCCATTCCAAATCTAATAAAATTGCCGGCATAAGATGGATGATTGACATATTCTTCAAGTTTTACGCTACGATCTATCTTTATGAACCCCAATAACTCAGCTTATATTATTTAATCATATACATACCTAAATACCAAATCATCTTTTAATATTGATTTTTAATTTATATTGATAAATTATTTGTATGAAGTAGTATTAATATGTCTGTTGATTAATTAGCAAAATTTAACTTTTTATATTAATAATTTCAGTTTTATTAAGTAGTTATCCATAATAAATACATTCGTTATTTTAGAAAAAACAATAAAAATAAATGTCAATAATAATACTTCTTTTATCCTTACTTTAATTATCTTAATAGATTTCATTCATAGGATAGACTGCTACGGGTAATAGCAAATTAATATTAAATTAGAACGATATTTTCCGAAAATCATGAATTGGATAAAGAAATAGGACTAAAGAATTGATCAAAGAATTGCTTTTGAGTCTATACAGTTGATGTTTAAATTTGTGGAAGAAGAACTTACTTATGATACTGAAAACAACGAATTCCTGGAATTATTTTAGTAATAAGTAATCATCATCTTGCTATTTTTTAGATTTTTAATCTAAGTTAATCTAAAGCAGATTCCGAGCTTTAAAGTTATCAAGCAACGATTAAATTTTTGAATGAGGATCTTAAAAGCGAAGTCTCTTTCTTCAAAAATATGATTAAGGACAAAGAGAAGATGCTGGAATAAGATATTAAGGAAATTGAAAAATTAAAAAAATAAACAAAAGACAAGAGCAAAATAGAACAAAAGCTCAAAGATATCAGTTATCTTATTAAAGAGATAGATAGAAACTTGGAAATTGGAACTGCTGAAAAATTATATGGATTATTAGAAATCATAGAATCAAAGGCAGTTATTGGATTATTTCAATATTAGAATGAATACTAAGAAATTTAGTAGTACCTAAGAAATGTAGATTTACTCTTCAAATCAAGAAATTTCTAGTAAGATAAAGTAAATTTATGATAATTTATTTTAGTTTGAAATTGTCAATTTAATATCTATGGTGAAAAATGTCCTTTTAGATTTACATTTAAACATTATAATTAAATTGTAAGAGGAATAACTAGATGAGTATGAAGCAATGTCCTTTTTTGAAAATAGTAAAGTCACTCATCAGATAGCAAGAGATTACTTTTAGAATGAATTGCATTCGTTTTTAGGTACATTTAATTTTAGATTCAATAGAAACCTTGATAACTAAATGGGAAAATCTTTTGTTGATTTAAGATAATACAAAAGAAAATTCAGAAATCTTTAAAAATCTGATTTAGTAACTTAATAAATAAAATACTAAAATGATTGAAACTAACAATCACAGTACACAATTAATTAATTTCTCAATTAAACATCTAGAATAAGACTTTTTGCAATAAATAAAAAGACAATGAATAAATTCAAATGTGATTTAGAGTTATATATATATAATATTGATTTAAAATAATAAAAAAAATTCCATGTACATAACCCATATATTGTTATCAATAAATTTTGAAAATTATGAAGACCAATAGAAATCCTCCAAAAATAAACCAAACAGAATTTTTCTTAAACCAGATAGACCATTCCAATTCTGCAGCTTTGTCCTTAAACTGAAATAATATTAGGTGAATAATCTTACTAATTTAGAGTCTTCTTTCAAAGATTTGGCCTTCTCGTTCATGTCTAAATATAAATGATATGAGATAACCTTGCAATTTCTCATCTCTATCAAATAGCAATTTGACGTTTTCATTCATTATTTTTTTGAGTTCTGTGATTTCAGTTTTCAATCTTTCCATATTCTTAGTTGATGATTAATCTTGGAATTCTTATTTCTTCTTTTTTATAAACCTTTCTTTATATAATAAAATATGATTAGATACCAAATTATTAAAAACAATATGAATCGTTGCTTTCAATGGTCTCTAATTTTGATCTATAATTAACATTAGAGGTTCCATATCTGATTTGTAATTCCTATTAAAGAAAATTGAATTACATCTTAGAACCCTTTTTCAATTTCATCAAGATAGCAGCAAGCTAATTTCAGATTAAAACTAGAATCATAAAAGACAACATAACAAACCCCCATGGAAGTCTTGTAAACCGCTACAATTATAATTGTATCAGTACCATTTACATTGCTTTATTGGGAATCCAATTATCGAAACTATACATCTGTTGATAGACTGCCACGTTTCAATACTAATTTTATCTATCTTTTCAATTCCAAGCTTAATTAGACTTTTTCACTTGATTGTACTTCGCAAAGAAGCAACCCATCATTAGCTCTAGCTTAATTAAGGATTGTATATTGTCATACCTATTATTGTATCAAAAATCATAATGTTTTTATTAATTAATTCAATGAATGTTATAAAATATATTCAAATACATACAGTGTCAGATGTTTAATGAGTGATTACATTCAAATACATTTCTATATGAAAATATTACTTAAAATATAAAATCTATATTTTCACTACATAACTCACTTAAATTTTAGTAATATAAATAGCCTATTTTAACTAATAAATTGAGTAGGCAATAATATATAATTAACAAATGTATGATAACAAATCGGATAAGCATGGCTTTAAAATGGTAAAATATTTGAAAATACCCTTTAGAATATTGACCATATAAAAGATGAAAATATATTCTGTTTGATTTGTGATGAATAGGATTATACAGAGCAAAACTAAATAGTATTTTGTGATGGATGCGATGTAACAGTTCATTAGGAGTGTTATCACGTTGTCAATTTGGGAGCAAAGTGGTATTGCTAGAAATGTTTGGCATTGAAGGACAACAAAGATTAACAGATCGATTGCTAATTTTGTCCTGAATAATTCTAAATTCTAGAATTAGTTTAGTTGAATGGACAATAGTAATGGGTATCAATAGATAGTTATAAATTAAGGCTCATTCAATTTGTTTGAGAAGGAACCCATTTTTAGTGTAAAACCCTAAAAGCCATAATTTATACTCATGTGATACAGACTTGCAAACAGGTTTGAAATGCCGTTATTGTCAAAAGAGTGATGGTTTTCAATTAGAATGTTACTATTCAGGATGTTAAGAGGCATTTCACATAGGGTGTTTGAAGGTTAATGGAGGAATAATGAATAAAAAGGCGATGGAATGTCTATACACATACATGAAGCCTTATTTGAGAATACAGGATATGAAGTTATTGTTTTGTGTGGAACATGTAGAGGAATTGATGGATAAGTTGAAGAAAGATGAAAAAAGCCAAATAGAATAGAGTAAAATAGCTTAACATTCATTTTAGAGTTTCTGAAATTGAGAAATGAAAGATTACAATCTTATTACATCTATAATAGGAATGATAAATAGATGGATGACAATAAGAATGAGACTAAGGCAGCAAGGAAATAAAAAAATTACGAAGATGAGCTCTTTGAAGAGGTAGTTTAATTGAAATAGTTGAAATAAGCAAAAATACCAATAAAGGATAAAAAAGTGAAAATGCAATTCAAGGAGTATATGACAAGATAACTAAATGATCAATTGCATAAATTAAGGGATGATTTTATGAAGAAAAATCATAATGATCTCAATGCTGATGAGGATACTTATATTTAAATAGATACTTAATTAAGCAAAAAACTATTCGATAAGTTGGTTGACATCAACAACTTAGAGGAATTTGATAAATATTTAGTGAGCTATTTCATTTTTAACAATATGATTCGGAGACCAAATAATCCTGAAATTTATATTCGAGATGTATTAATATTTTTAATTAATGTATAGGACAATAACAATTGCTAATATTGGAAAAAGGTGCTGGATGAATTGGGAATTAAAAACGGCGAATAATTCTCAAGGTTTTTGAATGTTCTCAGATTGAAGAAGATGAATATTGTGAGTAGGAATAATGAGAAATTACAATATGAGTAGGATTTACAATAGCAATTCGAGATCTAAAATAATGAGTTGATTGAATGATTAATATTTAAAAATAAAAATATCATTTTTAAAATAAATGGGCAGAACAGGAATTGCAGTTGGTTTGAATAGAGGATTTATAACATCCTCTTTAACAAAGAAGCAATTGAGAAGAAGACCATCATAAAGAAAAGGAACATTAGGTAAGAGAGTGCTTTCCGTCAGAAAAGTCATCTAAGAAGTAGCAGGATTGAGCCCATATGAAAAGAGAATTATTGAATTGTTCAAAACCAATCAACCCAAAGATTTAAAGAAGGCAGGAAAATTGGCAGCTAAGAGATTGGGTACAAATAGAAGAGGAAAAAGAAAGATTGAACTTGTCTAAAATCTATACAGAGCCATGAGAAAGTAATAATAAACCAAACATTGATATATTACATACATTATACCAATATCATCAATCTTGCTTTCTTTTTCTCCTTTAGCAAAATAGCCAATCATATTTTAATTAAAAGTATTCCCAAAATCCCATACCTAATTCCTGTCTACTCATTCCTCTCTCAATATTCCTTTTAAGATATTTGTGTCTGTCCTTCAAGATCTTTCCAATAATATCAGTAGTTGATATCCCTTCAGTTCTTTTAGTTGCCTATATTCATATATGTATCTTTATCATACCTTGAATTTTCCAAGTTTCTTGCACAAAGCATAAGCATCATCCACATCTGCAGTCTAATATGGAATATCATCATGAGCAACATAATCGATCTGATGATCATTTAGGAATTTCTCATCGATTATCCATGGAGCAGGATAGACAACCTCATCAGCCCTTAAAAATAATAATTTCCCCTTACCATTTACAGTGTTTTACACTCTCAGTTCTTTAGTATCCATCCATTACCGATTTTCCTTTAAATTTCTCGACATCTTCCTAAGAACACACTCCAACTATCAAATAAGTGTTTGGAAAAAGCTTCTTGCATTGCTCTAATTAGCGTGCATGTCCATAATGAAACATATCATATACGCCATCTGCATAAACACGTACTTATTTTTCCTCTTTATTCATTTAAATAAATAAAATATTAAAATAATGTAAATAAATGGCCGTTTGTAATTCGACTTAAAACTAGATGATAAAGATTATAAAATAAGTGGCAACATTTTCTTGAAAGAAAACCTATCTACTGATGTTGAGAAAGAAGCAGAAACGATTGCCAATCGAATCGTTGAAAAAGTCCGATAAAAATCATTAAACAAATCAATCAATAAATCTGTATAAAACAAATACGAATCATAATCAGCCACCAAATTTAGTCAAACTGAACATTTCAAATCTAATGAACAATGCAATTCTCGATAAGAAACTCTAAAAAATGACTATAAATAACCATATGTTTCAGAATATCAGACTGAGTATAGATCCTCTTGTAACTTCAATAATGAAAATCAACAATTAGATATTTGTGAATTAATTACACCTTAAAAACATAAAATACGTCACACTAAATCTCAGCAATCCATTAAAAAAGATTAACCAATTAATAAATAGTCTACTATCTAATCAGCAGAAAGCTAAATTATTATCGAAAACAATAGCAATAGCAATACTAAAGATGGAAAACATATTATTTAATTGATGTATACTTTTATACTATGATTTTAGAGATAATGCTCATAATCTGATCAGGAAGAACTCTTAAATTTTAAATAAAGTATAACTATAGTCTCCTCTTAAATCATCGATTAATACTAAATCATCTCTAAGTATCAAATCTTCAATCAATGCATCATCTAATAAAAAGAAAGAAGATATTGTTACTCAACTATTAGGTAGTCTAAGAAATGCAAAAAAAATTAAAGATGAATACTAAAAAAGATTCTTTTGATTACTAATATTTATTATCCATAAAGTAATATATTTTCTAAGTATATTTATTTTACTAAGTTTACATTGATGAAACTCAATCAAAAATAATATTTTATTTTTAAATAACATACATTCCATTCATTTTACTAAAATTTATTTTCATGTTTACCATAATTTCTCAATGTTAAGTATAAATATCAAAATAATGATTAATCAAGTATTCTATTTGATAATCTTTTTTTAATTTTTAAATCCTAATTATTATATTTTTCAAGAGATTATAAGATTTCTAATATTTTTTATTTGTCATTAATAATTATATTAAATGTCATAATAAAAATAAACAGTTTTTAATTATAATAATGAAGAAATGTAACACATTAGTTATATAGTTAGTGGTGGATGTTTAATGTTGATGTACGATTCAGATGATGAAGTTGATAAATTTAATTAAAGTCTTTAGGAAAGCCAGATCCAATTATAAAAAACAACTACCAAAATGCAGCAAATTTAACTACAGAATAATCACAATATAAAAAAATGATAATATATTAAAAATTCAATCTATATAAATAATGTATCAAAGAACCATTTTGGAGGACAATGAAAATATTTAAGAAGATTGTAAACCTAAGAGATATGCAGCCAGTCTGGAAGGGTAGAATTTTAAGAAAAAGCAAACTAATAAAGCCAGTTTTCAAGAGTGGGCTGGATTAATTGGTATCATCGTTGTCACATATCTCTTAATTATAATTGTGTGGGCCTTATGTATTTAATGTGTAATTATGCAAATTAGGTTTCATAGGTATTGATAAGAATTTTAAAGTCACTGTTGGCATCTTTATGGTTTTATTTGTATTATTTGTGATTGGAATTTTGATATATTGGTATTATGGTTTGAAAAGTCGGGAAGAATTAATTCGATCAATGATGCTAAGCAAATGGTAGGATAGTTCTTATGAAATTAATAATTGATTTAATTACGATTCAATAATCGTCATGATGTATATGTACTATTATGTGGTTTATTATATTATTTTAAATGTTTCATTATGAAATTATTTTCTCACTAGTCTAGTTGAAATTATCTCACAGTCTCACAAGAAGAGATTGAAATTCTAAGACAATTCTTTAACTTTTAACTTAACACAAATGTTAATCATTTCAATTTATTAAGAATAATTTTTATTACAAAAATTCATATCAATTCTAAATTGGTTATGTAAAAGTAATATATACCTGCCATTGTCTTTATTTATAAATTATTTAAGATAATGAATGCTTTATTTGGTTAGGTCTTAATATTTTTAGAAAAATTACTATATATAATAATAATTAAAATCGTCAAGTAATTTGTGAATAATTTTTCATTGTTATACCGAGAATCAACATCCATAAATTATTCTTATGATGAACTACATTCTTTAAGATATTACTTTGGAATCTGCATGGATTTATAAAATTAAAGTATTGTAATTATGAAGTATAATAAAAAAATCAATAGATAAATTTAGATTTTTACAAAATTATGAATTGATGAACAAAATATTTTACCATGCAATAATAAATGATATCTTATTTTTTGCAATAGAAAATCACCATAAGATTCAATAATTTTAGTTGATAATGATGTTAAGTTGATTTTGATGAAATTATTTTAAATTGATGACATCAACGGTGATCTATGTTATTTAATTAATGAGTCAACTCCAGATGTTTAGATATGATCATAGGTTTATTTGTTTAATGCATTATTACAAGATGTATAGTATGTTTGATAGAATTGATATTATATATTTATTTAAAGTATGAGCGCAAAAGTTGTTGAAAATTATTCCCTTCTTGAAGTTATAGGTTCAGGTCAATATGGTAAGGTGTATAAGGCAGTGAACATAAAAAATAATAGTTTAGTAGCAGTGAAAGTAGTCAAGATAGAAAAATTTAAAGAGGTGCCAAAATTGGAGGAATTCACAATGAATGAAATCCAAACCTTGGCCAGAATTAACAATCCATATGTTGTCAAATTTATAGAAATGCTCAAGAGTTCTCGAAATTACTATTTTGTTTACGAGTACTGTAACGGTCAAACCCTTGAGGCTGTGATTTAAGAGCAAGGGTATAAATATATGTATAATAAGGGTTCAAACTGAAAAGGAGGCTCTATATTACTTTAGATAATTGGTTTAAGCATTCCAATCCTTAATTTAAGACAATATTATGCACAGAGATTTGAAACCAAGCAACATAATGTTACATAATGGACAAGTTAAATTGGGAGATTTTGGGTTTTGTAAAGCCTTGAATTCTCCTCAGGATTTATCTTCAACTATGGTGGGCTCTCCAATCTATATGGCTCCAGAAATATTGAAGGGACAGGAATATTCAATCAAGGCTGACATTTGGTCTTTGGGGTGTGTTCTGTATGAATTATTGTATGGAATTTGTCCATTTGAGGAGAAAACTATGGCCTAATTAATGTTGGCTGTTGAGGAGAGGGAAATTTAATTCTTAGATAATGTTAACGTAGTATCATAAACAACAAAAGATTTGTTATAGAAGATGCTCACAAAAGATCCAACCAAAAGAATTAATTGGAAAGAATTGTTTGAGAGGGAACTAACTTATGCAGAGAGTATACTTTGATAAATGATTTAGGAACTAAAAATAACGAATAACATGCTAATTAGATACAATAGGAGTTAACCTTGAATTCACAAAGGAATAAGGAATCAAAGGCTTTTAAGTACTTATTGATGGAGAGAAACAAAATATTTTATCTGTATAAAGTTGTTGAGGAAGTCTTAGAGTTAAGCAAGGAAGAAGTATATAATATTAATAATTATTAATTTTTTTAAGAGAGAAGAAAGTCGAGAATCTTAGAGTGTATATTGTGGGTACATGATTATGAAATATATCTGTTATTTGATAGAGATGATCAGAATGAACTTGGTTGACAAATTCAATGTTTCAGCTTTTCCTCATCTTGTCAAGAAATAGGAATTATAAAATGATATTACAAAGACCTTTGAGTATAAAAGTTTTTGCACTCTTATCCAGAAAGAAGTAGAAACAGCTCGAAAGATGTTTAAACATTTTTAAGATGAAGCAGACAAATTTTATAAGTCATAAAATAATGGATAACACATTTATTAGGGAACTGAGTTTGCTCATTTTGAAACTGAACTTTAAAGGGAATTGTCATCATCTGAAATTTCAATTACATTTATGAAAAAAATTGTTTTAAAATATTGTGAAGATTTAAAAAGTCAGTATTTACAGCAGTTTTTAGATAAGAATCCTCAACTGGGTAGCAAGTAATCTTTTACATTATGATTATAGGTAGTTGTTGCATATTGAAAAAACTCTAGAATCTTTAATTTTAGATGAATTTTTTGAAAATTGCATGGACATTCAATAGATCGATTTGGAACAACAAAATTATTTTTCAATCCTTAATAAATATTCAAAAGCAGATTTGTTATAAGTAATCACCAATAAGATGGACTACATTAGACATAAATTATATAAATGAAAAGGAGCTTGTATCTTAATAATAAAATTTATTTATTTTGCTATATTATATAAACAAATAAGGCCAATAAGTATATAAAACTGGGATCTCTTTTAAATGAATCAATAAATCTGTTAATTTATTTAAATTCATTTTACATTCTAAATGAGATATCATTCACCTATAAAAGGAGATTCTATCAACTTTAAGTAGATCAATATTTAGATAGCTAATAACATATTATAGGAACTAAATATTATATAAAGATTGAGATAAATATTATGAGTAATCAAAGCTACGATGTTGAAAGAATGGGGCAGTCTACAATTTTACTAGGTTGTTTTCTTGTGAAGAATTTATTTCTTTTTAAGTTAAAATCTTCTTTAGGAGTTGTGAAGTTAGCTGATCTGTACTCATCCTATTTCTTTCTAGGATCAGTACAGAATTTTAAATCGATTTTCCTCAGATAATCTATAATGCCCTGAATCTTTGGATTGGGCTTATGATAAATTTCTAATTCTAAAGAGTCTAAACTTGAATTTAATTCTTCTGACATATTATTAAAAATATTAATTTTCGATATTTCACTTAATTTCAATTGACAAAAATTAGAATATAATACATTATTAAATTTTTGCATTAATCATAAACTGAATTCGCAAGAATTAAATAATATGCATGTTAAATTTATTAGACATAAACAACTTTAACCTTTTATGAAATTTACTACGCTTTTTTATGCATTTAGAGATTGTAATTTTGCCAACTTTTCAAATCTAAAACAAAATAAATCATAATAATTAATGTATATTTTCAATACTAAAAGTTTGCAATTCTCTTTAAATTCAAAAATAGCAGATAAGACAATAAAATTGAATTGATTTAAATAATTTATGATTTTATAATATATAAAATTAATATTATAATTAAAATTATTATGTCAGAGAAATTGCCAAAGTTGAGCCAGAAAAAAGCTAGGTCTTAATCATTATATGAAAATCAAGTTGCCACTAAAAAACTAAAGGAATCATTGTACAATTTATAAACAAGTCGTTATGGTTAGAAGCCTTAAAAAAACCCTGTTATAGAATCGATTGTTAAGGAAGCTGACTTAGTTCTGACAAATTAGCATTTGAAAGAGAACTTATTTAAACTAAAGGATCTAGGGTTGTTAAGGAATTGTTAGCCCAGAATTTAGACCTAGTCAGGGTTGAAGAAGAAAGATTTTATATTAAATGATTATCATAATAAAAGCACAATAAATGGATATTCAAGGAATTATGGTGGATTGTTTTATAATAGATGATGGCAATTTACTAAATATTTTATATCTGTTATTTTAAAATTATATGTGTTTCTTCGTTGTCATTCATTTTACGTATTAAAATTTAATAATTTGCAAAATTACAATATATATATAAATGAATAATATTAAATAAATAATATAAGCAATTAAAGGATGTATACAAATTTTAATATTAAAAGAAAACATCTAAGACTTAAAGAAGCATAATCCTTCCCCTGAATAAGAGCAAGGCATTTAGAAAATGAAATTAATACATTTTGCTGCCTCCTATCCCAGTATAGAAATTTTGCAATATTTTGTTGAAAAATCTTAAAATTTGGAAATCGCAGATTCTGTATAAAACTAAATTTATTTAAATAGATAGGAAGAACTCCACTGCATCATGCCGTTAGTTATGGTCATTTGGGAAATGTCGAATTATTGATAAAAAAGGGAGCAAAGATAGAAGCACAGACATTAGGAGGCGATACACCTTTGATAAAAGCAGCATAATTAAAAAACCATTAATGCTATAATTATTTAGTTAGTGTAGGTGCAAATAAATCACATCAAAATTGTATAGGTCAGAGTGCTGAATAAATATATTAATATAATTGAATAACTATTAAGAATATTTAAATGTATTCCATTATAATATACATTCCTAAACCCCCTTTTTCTATTTTCTATATTCTATAATGAGTTATATATTTGATAGAATGGAAAATAAGAGAGAAGTCTAGATTTAATAGTTTAATAATTATATAATAATATAATGCAATACATTTAATATCATCCTCAAATTATAGAGGAATTTAAAATGAATGAGGCCAGGAGTTTATTCTAAACTATGGAAGGTTCAATAATGTAGAAGTTTGAAGATAAGGAATCTTTCGAAGAATTACTATTACTTTACAATCATAAAAAAAAAGAATTAGTCTAATAGCAAATTCAATTTGGTTTAAATTCTCTTTTAAATGATAATAAATATATTCTATTGTGCAAGTGTTATTATGAAATGAGATATACTAAACTGAAGTAAAACGAGGGGTTTTATATTGTGACCATATATAATTCAAAAGGAAAGGAATACTTAATAATAAGTAATTCTAATTCGTTTACTAAAATCGAGACTGCGATAAAAAGGTTTTGTATAAGTAAAGGTTTTTTAAATAAATATCATATAATTGAATAAAGAAATTATCTACCATTTGTTTAAAATTATAAAGTAACCATATTTTTATCAAATAGAATCAAGAGTTGTGTAGTATTTTATAAATAGATAAGAGATAAATTCATACTGATTTAGACTGGGAGTAGTTTTATAATAGTATTATTATAATGAATTATTTCAGTGAATAAACAAAAATAGTTAAAATTTACGAAGAAAATTCAATGTATTATTTATTTTTGAAATGCATGAAATTATAATCATTAGAATCTTTGATCCTTGAAGATTTTGAATTTAGAGAACCACCTTTAGTTTGCATAATCTATCTCATTCTTTAAACTTTACAAAAATATAGAAACCTGGGAATATATCATGGGAATGTTAACTTAAAATCAATCTATGTGAATATATCAGGTGCTGTATTATAAATAATCCTTTTATTTCCTAAATATTTGTCCAATAATAACAAAGGCACATAGCTGGATTTGTAAAATCTAGGATAATTACTTTATTAAATAACATTTTATGAAAAAAAGGATAAAATTAAATAATTTATAGATCAAAAACTAATTACATAGTAAAAATAATTATTTTTAAACATGAATGCAGAAAATAAGCAATTCAAATTCTTGTATAGAATTAGTTAGTTAGATTTACTGAGCCAATTACTTACCCAAAATATTTCGATTGAAAATGCATTAAAACATTAATGGTTTGTAACTGTAAAATAAAATCTAAAAACAGAATTTGTTAAGGAAACAAAAGAACGCTTAAATTTGCGTACTATAGTCGAATCAAATAATGAATTAAGTATGACTCTATCAATGGACAAAAGACTTTCGACCAAGGAATTTGCTGAGTATGGTATATTAAATTAATTATAGTGAATTCAGAAATCGAAGATGAATTTCCAGTAAAATGCTCAATTTTAAATCCATTTTAGATGAATCCCTCAAAATAAAAACATGACAATTTTGTTTAAAAATCAAAAAGTTTTTCAAGTTATGATCTAAATTTAGTAAATAAAGAAAAATTCTTTGCAAATAATTAATCTTTTATTATTTAATGAGATAATAATTTTATGATGAAAATTTATTTAGAAATGAATAATTCATTTAATATTCGAAAAACTTTCCCAATATTAGATTTGTTGGACAACATTATGTGGTATGATAGCTTTTTCTGGTACTCCTTCTTAAAACACTCTAAGAAAATCTAATCTCTTTTTTAATTCATCATTGCTCTTATGTTACTTTTCAGTAGATGCTTATTATTTCAATTATTTGCTATTCATTTCTAAGAATTAAATAATTTGTTTTGCTTATAAATTCTCTCTAACTGCTTTTCTGATGCTGGACTCAGATAGATCAGCTATTATTAAGATTTTAAATCGTTTTTTGATTTCTGAAAACAAATTTAACAAATTGCACAAAATCTCCTCTTCTTATTGATCACCAGAGTTTAAGTAAGCATAAATTCTGAAATTAGCTTCAACAATAATGTTGCATTAGATTCCTATAGAAACACTGGGTGGTTCATAAAGAAAGTTCCAAAATAGGAAAGTAATTCTCATTTATTAATCCTGATAATGAGTTAAACCAAATTCTTATAAATCTTTGATAACATTTTTCTGCCATTCTTCATTTGGCATTTGATAAATCTTCATTGGATCCAAAACACTCAAACAAAGTATAAACCTTACTACATTGCTAGACTATTTAGTAACATAATATTTGAGAATTTAATTAATTTATTTATGTGTTGAACTCAAAATGAAAGAGAATCCAACTCCTAAATTTCTTTCAAGTAGTTTGGATTCTATTAAAGTTTATCTAACTTATTATCTATAACAAGAAATATCTGACCGATCTCTTCTACTAATCAGATCAAATAAATCCTTCCACTTTCGACTACATTCTCTTTTTAATAATTCTTTGCTTTCAGTACAATCTCCAATCTTTGTTAGAATACTTTTGCTTTTTCCTTCAATAGAATCTCGCAATGAGTTTTAAAAATTAGAATCCAAATAGTAATAAAAATTTACAGCTTATTGTTATCTTTCTTCTTATTTCGTAATAAGTTTTAATTGAATTGCCAGATCTAGAATTGTATTAGGAGATTATTAGTAATTTTGAGCTTGTATAATACTTTCGGGGACTTTTCTTTCTTCAAAAAATACCATTCTTTAGATTATTGTCCTTAAGTTTGGCGGCAAGGATCTAAAAACTGGAATACATGCCTATTCTTAAGGTTTATAGATGCTAGTATCTAATAGTTGTAAACATCCCAAGAAATCTTCCAATTATTAAGACATAGATAACAATATAAAATATTATTTAATTTAATCACCTTTTTCTGCATTTTCTACATTTCCAATCCATCTAATCGATTTCTTCTTGTGTTTTATTCAGAGGTATTCCTGCACAACTTTAATGATACCAACATTTTTTTTCACTGCATTCAATCCATTTTGTATCAGTTCCAGGACAATTTGGATTTTCACATTTTTAATTAGTTTATTCTTCTCTATCAGATGTTTTTTCGTCATTGCTCATAAACATGCATTCATAATCGCTTCGCACTCTTTTTTCAGGATTATAAGCAATCAAATAGGCTTTCTCTGTTTCTGATAAATATTTATCATCTTATTAGGATAAATTAAATTTTCCAGCTTTGATTTCAATCAAGAATTCTTCCTTTTTGAATGGAGAAATTGTAGATTTTTGATTTAATTTCTATTTCATTGTTTCCAATGATGCTCCTGGAATCCAATATCCTAAAGTTCTTTTGATATTCAATTATTCTTGGTATTAGAGATCCATATTAAATTATTGTAATAAATATTATTGAAATTAAAATGATGAAAAGCATAGTGAAAACAGAAGAAGATTCTCCAAAAAAGCCTATATGGGAATCTCTATTAGAGAGGGTATTCTAATAAATTAAACAAGGGATCATGTAAGAAGGAAGAAATCAACAGAAAAATTAAGGAAAAGAAAATCAAAGATGAAGAACTTGATCCAGAATGTACTTTTAAGCCTTCCCTGATCAATCAAAATTGTAAATCATCATCATTATATTCTAGAACTATAATTAGATAAGCCTTTTTATGAGAGACAACTAAAATGGTTGGAAGATAGAAAACAAAAGATTAATGACAGAAGAGATGGCGCTAAGGATAAGAGTCTAGAAAAGTGCTCATTTCAACCACAATTAGGACCCTCTCCACAAATACCTGAAGTGGACATCAGAAATACTAAAGGAATGGACTCATTCATTCAAAGACAAGAAAAAGCAAGAAAATTAAAATAAGAAAAGCATATGCTATTAAATAATCCATATTCGCATTTGAGTTCAGAAAAGAAGGCAGTTTAGACTGTAATTATTGCATTTATTCAATATAGAATCAATCATATTATAGTAACAATCATCCGATTTCAAAGGAATATGAGTCTATTAAGAAACAAGAAAGAATTGAATTTTCAAAAGCAGTAGAGAATTCTTAAGAAATTGAAACCTAATCATAAACCTAGCAATAATAGAAAATGTAATTGGGAATGGCAATGAAAATGTTACACAATCAATTATATAATATTCAATTCAATAGTGAATTTTGATGTGTTTATACTTACATTATTAGATCATAATAATTATTTATTATATTTACTGTGATGATATTTCAATATGTCTTTTTGATTCTCTCTGCATTTTTAGGAGAATCATAGATTGTTGGTGGTCTACGCATTTCATGTTAGAAGTGATTGTACTCAAAAGTTCTATTTGATCTCCTAGTATAAGCTAATTCCATTAAGAAATCGAACATGTCATCCTAGGATATTAAGTATGGTTTACTGTGCATGCATATGCTGCTTCATAAAACATAGCGTAACATGGATATACTTTGGCTCTTTTCAAGTAATCAGCTTCTGTCTTATCCATTTTGAAGTGTTCAGCCTAGTCACAATCAAACCATTTCTAAAATCTGAGAGCACACAATGTAAAATAATCTTATTATGATTAATAAGTGGGATAAGGCACATACACTTTCTACTTGGGGGGTAATCCAACCTAAAAGCAATTAGTTCTCCCTGTTGGTGTTGTACCTCTGAATGGAAATAGACAATCTTCCAATGCCCCTATAAATTGTTAGATAATTGTATTACATCCTTCGAATAATATTGTGTAAACATCATCTGGTTCCATTAATGAATATTTGTTAGCTGTAGTATCAAAATAGAAGCACTACTTATTATATGGACACTACCTTTGTGTATAATCTGAACCAATCTTTCAATTATTCCTTTTCCCAAACAGCATCTGTTCTCAGTACAAAATCTTTTTCGTAATCTTTCCAGTTAATTCCTATAAGGATATCAAAAGCAAACTACCTCTGTGAGAGAAATCATAATTTGGTGGCATTTTATGGAAATCTTTGGGCAATGTCTCCAATAAAGGTTGTGTAGCCATTATATTGAACCTTTTAATTTATTAATATTAATATATATGGCAATTCAATTAGCAATATATTTCTCAATTAGAATTACATTTCCTTCCTTAAACCCAAAAAGTCCATAGGAAAAACAATTATTGTAATTCTATACATTTCCTGAGGAAATTAAAGATATTATATAAGATTGAAATTGTAAAATTATAATTAATAAATAATTAAATGGATCCTGAAGATGATTAGGAAATCATTGATTCTATTGTGAATGGTAGCATCATATCTTATTTTTTCAGCTCTAGAAAGTGATGAGGAAAGATCTTTTTCACCCTCCTAAACGAGATCTGATACCAACCGAACCTACTCACCCCAAATCAAGAGAACACAATAGCCATAGTAATCGATAGTCACATAAATTAGATATTCAATTAAAAAAATTTAAAGTCCTATTATAGGCTTCAAACTAGATTGTTGGACAATTCAACCCTTCAGCCTGGATGATGACTAATATTTGGATGGGGATCTAGTAAGAATTTAGTTATGATATAGATTCTCAAATGCAAGGACTAAACTAATAGCAGGAAAATATAGGGTCTATTTGAAAAGGGAGATGACGAACAAAGAGAATTTATATTTTAAAAATTGTTACCCGGAATTACCTCACTTGCAAATGATATCTTCGGAAACTACGTTGTTCAAAGAATCTTAGAGCAGGGTAATCAGCAACAAAGGGAATTGATATTTGAACAGTTATCCTAGTAAATACTAATTTTGTGTTATAACACATATGGATGTAGAGTGGCTTAGAAATTGTTGGAGATCTCTTACAATACGGAGAAGTTTGATTAGATATTCAAAGTGGTGTCATCTCAAATCAGGAATTTGGTGCTTGATACTAATGGGAATCATGTGATTCAGAAAATTGCTGAATTGGTTAAATCTCAGAAAAGTGAGTGGCTGATTGATGGAGTGTTGGGATAGATTTAAAAACTGTCGAATGATTCTCATGGGTGCAGATTAATCTAATAGATTTTGGAGTTGTCTTCCATTTCGCAAGTAAGCATATAGAATAAGAAAGTTGAATGATATTTATAAGGAATTATTGTCCATCTAAGATGAATTGTGTTTGTCATAATATGGGAATTATATCATTTAAATATTGTTGCAGAGAGGGCCGAGTGATGTGGTTTATAAGATTCAAAACACTATTATTAAGAATTTGGAGAGGTTGAGTTGTGATAAATTTGGGAGGTATTGAATAATAGTTAAGTAGCAATGTGGTTGATAAGAGTGTAAATATTTCAGTTTATATGAGGAAGGAAATCTTAAAAGTATTCATTCATAATATGAATGTCTTTTATAAATTATCTAATAATTGTTATGGTAATTATGTAATATAGAATTTCTGTAAGTAACTTGAATATAATTAATTAATAAAATTATCATATGATTCAAGTTAATTTAATACTCAATTTGGTTAACATGTATATTAAACCTTATAAAAATTGAAAAATTGATTTGATTATTAGATAATATTTAAATATCCAAAAAGGACATTAATATAGATTTTGGATTTTAAATATTATTTTTGTATATATTGTAAATATATAAATCTTGATAACAATATTATTTATATTATCCAAATTTAACAATGGGCAAAGAACTTGAAAAGAGCAAGGATTAACATGTATTTCCATTAATCTTAACTGAAGGGATCTTCGAGCAAGAAGAATAAAAAGGACAAGAAGGAGAAGAAGGAAAAACATAAGAAAAAGGACAAGAAATAGAAAAAGGAGGGTTAAAAACAAAAGTAATAGAAGAAAAATTAATGGGGAAGATATGGCACAATAAGGTTATATAATATCCTTATTAAAGCAATACAGACATGTATTTAAAACGTGAGGAGTTTTTGATGTGGCTTTCCGATGTTAAGATGCTTAATATTGAAGCAATCACGCCACAAGAAGAGAAGAAATTTTTCGAAGAATATGTTGAATGTTATAACACAGCGACATTTCCATCCAAGAAGTTTTATAACTTCAAGGTTTGGTTTGAGAAAGAATAACTTAAGGAACATTTGCAATAAGCAGAAATTGAAATGCTCACCTTCGATGATGAGAAGGAAAAACAGTACTTTAATTGTGTATTCAATTTTTAATAGGAAAGAACAATAGGAATAGAAGGAGTTGATCAAAAAGCAAAAATTATAAAGAGAATATTAGCATCTTCATGAATTTTAGAATATTGTAATAAATTGGTTATTTATTAAGGCACAAGACATGCAAAAATAGAAACAACTATAAGAACTCTTGAGACATCATTTTCAAATGGGCAATCATGAGGCTGCTGTGAAAATTCAAAAGCAACTTAATCCTATCCATACTCTTGATATGAATCAAATATAACAACAACCACCAATTGACTACGACTACGATTATGAGAATTTCTGATGATCTTTTAATATATATATATAAGACAAACAAACAAGATATTCCATTTAATATATCTATAAGTTAAAGAGGATAATAAAATTAAAATGTGTAGCTGTTAATTTATATAAATAATTTGAATATCAAATGGCAAAAATAATAGATAATTATATATTAATCGAGGGAATAGGACAAGGAACATTTGGTGAAATACACAAAGGCCGAAATCTAATATCTAAAGAAGCAGTGGCTGTGAAAACTATTAAATTGGACAGATTTTTAAATGACTCAATATTGAAGGATATGATAATTAACGAAATCTAAGCATTAAAGAAATTGGAGGATTAATACATCGTAAGAATGATTAAAATGCTAAAATCGGCTAATAATATTTATTTAGTATATGAACACTTAAATGGGGGATCGTTAGCAAATTATTTATATGAAAAAGGTCGACTAACAGAATAGGAGGGAAGATAAATTATGTCAAACGTATTTAAGTATGCTTTTACCCTTAATAATTAGAGGATTCAAGACTTTAAATCATGAAAAAATCATTCATAGAAATATCAATCCAAATAACCTATTCTTTAATGACGGAATCGTTAAAATAAAGAATTTCTTTTGTTGCAAGTCCCCAGCAAGTCAGAAATTGTTTGATCCTGGTATCTCAAAAATATTATATAGAAAACTTCATTTACTCTGCTCCTGAAATATTACTAAAGACATAATAGCCACAATATGAAGACAAATGCGATATATTCTCCTTGGGATTGGTGTTTTATAAGATGTTTCTAGGGTAATTGCCATTCCCTGAGACTCTAACTTAAGAGCAACTTATTGATTTGTATAAAAATCAGTAATTCAATCCAAATGTTGAAGATTTATCAGAAAATACTGCCTATATTTTAAATGGAATGTTATAAGTTGATTAAGCAAGGAGAATAGAATGGCAAACTTTGTTTCATGAGGATTAAGTACCTACTATGTCAGGTTTAGTAAATTCAACCAATACAAATTTTGCTTCGAATTATTAAATCAATTCATAAGTATAATAATTTGAGACTGGAGGTTAAAATTTTTACATCTCACAATAATCCTTATAAAATCATATTACTACTAGTCCTAATGAGTTAGTTAAACGAAAAACAAATGTTTCTGATAAGGAGAACATAAAAATAAATAAAGAAAATGATTAAGCGCAAATCTTTGCAAAAACAACGGAAAAGGAGCAAACCTTATCATAATAACAGTCCTAATAATAAACTTTATAAATTTAATCATCTACTATTAATAGTTCCTCACAGAATGTAGTTAAATAAATTCAAACCTAATTAAGTGAGTTAAGACATAAATTTAATATAATAATATAAGGAACATGCAAAATTGAATAATTAGATAATTGGTCAGCTAAAATAAAAACCGAAATCTGCATGATATTCCTATTAAAAAAAGCAATCAAATGCATAAACGAGATGTTAGACATATGCTAGAATACTGACAGACAATGGGCAATTTCAAAGAACAAGTCAGAAATAATTAAGATTCTATAAAAAGACTTTGATGATTTAGTTGCAAATTACAGACAAGTTAAATAAATGGTAAAGAATTAACTATCATATTCAATAGAACACATGTCCACATGAAGAATTGAATACTCACGAAATGATAGATGAGCAATATGTGGATAATGTATTAATTATGATAGCGAAATAAATTGCTATGGACTTGGGATAAATTCGATCGAGTATGAGAAGCAATTCTCAAATTAAGAGCAATGTAACTGATATATTTTTGAATATAATTAGTCATTTAATTATGAATAAACTAGTTAGAGGAATGGCAGCTTTATTGAATCGAAATAAGGTACTTCGAATTAGTACATTTTTGCAATCTTTTTAATAGATTTAGTTAAAGGAATGAATTTTGAAGATCAAAAACCTTATTTTAAAAAGTTAGAAGAATCCAAATTGCCTGAATTGTTAGACTTTAAACTCAAATCTATTTGATTGTATATTTTATAATAAACAATATTAATACAATTATTATAATGATCTAAAAAACAGATTACTTTGTTGATGACGATAAAGAAAGGGAATATAGAATTCAAAGTAAGAATAGTTTTCATTAATAAAGGAATGGAAAAGCAATTGATTGAAAACTAATTTACTAAGTAAACTTATCCAAAAAAATATGATTATACAATCTCGAAAAGTAACTATGCAGTTCCAATAAATCAATTGGATTATAAATCATTTTATCAGTCTTTTATGCCTTCAGATTAAAAATAGACGAGTCTTTAAAATTTATAAGCTTCTTAAAATAAAACTTCGACATTTAAATTAAGCCATGATAACAATAAAAAGGAAGTAACACCGAATAAAAAGCAGCAATAATCATTATATCGGGATATCTTATAAAAATAAGTAGAAGAGAAACAAATATAATTGAAATAGTAAAAGGTGAAGCTTGAATGCACTGATCTCTTTACTAATAATTAATCGAATACGCCAAATAATAAGATTAGCAGTTTGAGTAAGTCAGAATATTAAAATTATTTGTAATTGTAAATATTGGAAAAATAAGGCAGTAGTAACAAAAGATTTGATTCTCCTAATAAAAATTAATAATTAATTGAGGAGTAGAATCAAGATAAAAATTCTAAGGGATCAAAAGAATTTTAAATAATTTAGAAGTAATTAAAATAATATTAGGAAGAAAAACAATAAAAGGATCGTAAACTTTTACTGCAGTAGAAATTTGAGTAGTCAGCATCAATTCATGAGAAAACTAAGGAGAAGACTTTTTCTCCTGAGAATCATAATAGGAAGAAGAATTATATATAGGAAGACGAAGAGGAGAAAGCCAGAACTTAACAATAGAAAAGTGTTGTATCCAAAATATTGACTGAATAAATACAGGAAAAATAGAAAAAAAGAAATGAGGAGAAAAAGCAATAGGAAACAGAAGACAAATTGGCTGAAGAGAGATGGAAAAACGAGGTTTAAATGATGAAAGAGGAGAAAAAGAAAGAAGAAGAGCTCAAAAAAGAACAATAAGGAAGTAATTGAATTATGCTTAATGAATTATTTAGAAATTCAATAGGAGAACATAAGGATGCATTAATTGAAGTTAAAGTAATAGGAAGTGAGAAACAAAAGCAAAACAAATTCATTATAAGAATCAAGGAATGAGGAAGAATTCAAAGAAGAATTGAAATTTATTTAATAAGAGATAGAAGAAGAAGACTATTAATCAGAAATGCTATAACAAAATGAGTATGTGGAAGAATTACCATAATAATATTAATAATAATATGATTATTAATTTACAGAAAATAATGTCAAACCAAATAAGACTTAAAGTTTTATTGATTAATAGAATTTGGAATTAGACTAAATAAGACATTAGATGATGGAATAATAATAGTAATTAGAAAGACAAATTAATGCTGCAAAGAAATTGGCTTAAATAGGGTTATTGGAAGGTAAGAATAGAATAGAAAAAGAGATAGTAATTTAGTAAGGTAGAAATAATAAATACTTTAATGAAGATTATTCAATAGGATTGCTAAGTAAAAATTAAAGTAAATATTAATATGAATTACCTTTTCTGTTTAACTAAAAAGTCTAGCGCGATTATTTGTATACAGATAATCTATTGAGCAAGGTTAAATTTAATGGTCAATCTAGTCTAATTCCAATTTCTCTTCCGTATACTAAAAACCAATCAATATCTTAAGTTTCTGCCGAGTAACAACAGAATGAATCTCGGCCAATATCGATTTCTCAACATTCCAAATAGCATTTTCATACTTAGTTAATAGAGTCACAAAAAATTAAATAAAATGATGCCTTAAGTCAGTTGCTTTTAGAGTATCATGATTGAATTAATAAATATCACCTCGTATTAACTATACATTCTATTTATAATTAATCTATTTTTAATAAAAGTGTAATAAGTGAATTAAGACATACAACATGAACTATTTTATTAAACTCCTTTATTATTTGAAGTTTATTATGATTGGGATGAGTTCTATTACAGTTTCATACCTACTTTACTTAGTTAATTTCTAATAATTGTTAGACTAAATTCTTTACTAATTGGTTTTGCAACTCTTTAGATGATTTGGCTGGTAATTTCACTAAAGCAATTTTCAATATTAATATTAGTTTTAGCAGATGTCTCATCTTATTAGGTATTGTATGATATAGCTAGAATGATAAAATTGAATACCCAAAACTTCGGCTTCATCTGTCGAAACTCTTCTTTGAGAACTATCTATTTTATTTCCAACTAATATTTTGTTTGACTGATTCTGCTGCAAATTTATCATTCTCTTGCATCCACTATCTAATTTAGGTAAAGGATTCTCTATCTGTGATATTAAAGACTAGAATAATCCCTTGAGCTCCTCTAGAAGTGCATGTTAAATGTGAAATACCGCAGAATATAAAAATTAGAATTAATAATAATTAATGTAAATCAAAGAACAATGTCATACTTTGACCTTGTAATCTTACGATTTTGAATTCTTAACCTATTCAAAGGAGTACTTTCTTCATATTCAGCTATTTCAGCCATTTCATTTTCTATTTCTGCAATTTTTATTTGTTGCAATTAATTTTAAAAAGTATTTCTTCTTAATAAGCTTCTCTTTAAAGTAATAGAGTCTTGTTTTTGGAGTGAATTCTATCTTTTCTTCCCACTACTCTAATTACTCATTGTATCCTTCAAACTCAACTTTTATTCATCATCAAAAAGCATTCTATTGATGATGTTTTGTGGATCCGTATAAGATAATCTTAAATTCGAGACTTCATTATCTTCTTCTCCACTACTACTACTACTGTAATTATCTTCAATAAATATTCCTAATCTTTTTATCTCATGACTCTTTATAACACTCTTTTCTATTACGTTGATGTCTACATCGAATCTTTTAATTCTATAGAACATAACATACAATAGGCCTTTATAAATAGTACAATAATATTACCTTCAAATTTGATATACAATGGCAGAGTTCTTCTCTATTTTGCATTTAACTATTTAATCTAATAATTATTTGAATTTGGCGATATAAACTCTGCCACTCTAGCTATAGCTTCTATAAATTCAATAAATTGCATTTCAAAGTGTCTCTTCTGAGTAATTTCATCTACTTGCATCATGATTGATTGCAAATATATAAAATAGAGTTGCTATTCATTTATTAAATTTGGGTAGCAATCTGAATTTTGGAGTAACATCCTAAAGTCTTAAAAAGAAACAAATCTTTCCTTAGCATGTGTTTTATTCGAGAAATTTGAAGTATAAGAAAATAGTTATTTTAGAAATGGTAATTTGAATCGAATGGTCATATCCATAATTTATGTCCAATATCTCTCATCTCTCCACTATTAAGCATATCCATAATCTAAAATGAAACCAAATTGACCATTCTAAGTTTGCATCATTTTATCAAACCCCTAAGCAATACTTGAACAATTTCCTTGTTTAACATATGTTTCCTTGGCTAATCTTATCAATAACTCTAAAAATTGATGTCTAACTAATGCTCTTTCTTGGATATATTAAGATTTCAATTCTTTAATTACTATAGTACTAATTAAACATATTTCCCAGTCAACTTATTTAATCAATTGATTATTTTTAGATTAAGAGTAAAACCCTTATATTGTTTATGAATTTATTCTTGGAAAGTCCTGTTCACATTACTATGAGGCTAAATATTTATAGCAAGAGATGATGTATTTATAATACTTCTTTAATTAATCCTAAAATATTTCAATTTTAATTTACTTTGAGAGAATTAACTTCATTGTTATTTATTAGATGCTTTAATACTTTACTGTTCTCTAGATCTGCCTCCAAACATTATTCTAAATGTGCTTCTGTATCTTCATCGAAATCTTTGAATATTGAATTATCTAAAGTCCATTTTCTTTTTTTAGCTAATTCAACATCAAATTCCACTATCTTCTCAGGTACTCTAGGTTTACATTGAATATTTGCTAGATAATGTTTCTTTTTATCAAAAATCGGAGTAGACTATGAGGTTTACATCATATTAACTGTATGTAAAGGTTGACTTTATAACACTTTGCCATTAGAATATTCCATCTGTACTCCAAAATTCCTCAATTGAGAATGAGTCTAAGTTTGGATAGTCCTTTGATCCTTAGCATAAACTTAGACATTTTGAACTGGGTTGCTGAAGAAGTATCTAATAGTTTGATTAGGGGGACACATTCTATAGAGAGTGAAATATCCATCATTAGTTTTTTGCATATATGATGGCTAATAATCCTCAAACTCCAGATGGATGAATATGGGATCCTCGTCTAAGAAGCCTGATTTATGTGGTTTCCATTGAAACATGACTTCAACCCAACCTTGACAAATCCAACAACTTTCCAATTATAAATTAACTAAATCTACACTCTAAATTCTAACGAATTCATTCTTTTTTTTTTGGGTTTACTATTCCATCTATTGCATCTGCAATTCTAGGTGTTTCTTATCTGATTCTTCAATATTAATATCGTCTTATTAGGATTCTGTAACTAATTTTTTGTATTTTTGTTCTCTAAGATACCCTTTATGATTTATTTAATAATTTGAATTGCCTTCAAAATGAAATCCATAAATAATTTTATTGAACTCTAATTCACTTGCAATCTTTTAGGAATCACTGTCTTTGAAATCATTATGCGACAAATCTAAATGAATCAACTCAGGGTGAGGTCTGGCAATAAAATTACAGATTTCATTAGTGCAATCCTTATTCCCTCCCAACTTATTAAATGAAATATCTAACACCTTTAAGACAGAATTCTTGCTCAATCCTCTGAAGAAGAAGATGCCTCCTTTGAATGTTATTTTATTGTAATGTAGATATAATTCCTAAATAATATTATTCTATCATTAATAATTATAATGAATACCTTTTTCATCATTCTCCCAAATGGTTCCATCACTTAATCCTAAATTTGATTTTGAGACAGATTAAGAACTCTGAGGCATTTGTTATTTTACAATGAATCAATCAAGTACTTTAAACCTTAGTCTCCAATTTAATTGTTCTCCAAGTTAAGTTCAATAACAAATTAGTGTTGTCTAACTAACAGCTTCTATAGAAATAAGCATCCATTTTTAGATATCTTATTATTCTTTAAATCCACAGATTGAACTGATTTTGGTAATTAATCCAAAATGATCTCCAAATCTTCATTATCAAGATTATTAGAACTCACATTAAGTTTTTCTAATTAGTTGAATGTAGATGATGCCAATCCTGCTGCAAATAACTTAATATATTGTTGACTACTTAATTAGCCAGCAGCACTAATTTCTTTTTTATTTTGATTATCAATAATTTGCATCTTTCTGGGCATGCACTGTTGTTCTTCCATCGCCTTATTTAAATTTACATAGATATTATTGGGAGTTTCATTGAAGGATTGAGCATCCAAACATTTATTAGAATGCTTGTAAAATTTATAATAGTCTTGAGAGTTGGGAGTATTAACAATTTACTATCCTAGCTTCTAATAATCGATTGATTGACTTTTGGATGAAAACAGAGATTATGCGGTGGGAAAAGAGATGAGAGAATAGTTTTCTTTAAATAGTTTCTTTTTTATAATCTACTCTCTTGATATCTCTGGTACTAGATGGTATCTCGAGTTTATGGGAGGCAGTTTATTTTCTGATAATACTGGTTTGGAGGGGAAGAAATGCTTGGTTTTTTATGAGTTAGTTGAGTTAGATTCTTTCAGTTAAATGCTTAAGGGTGTATTTGAATCAGAAGTTTAGAATTCTGTAAGATCAAAAAAGAGATTATCCTCATTCTATTTTAGATTCTTAGCATTCTATTCTAACTTGGTAGTGAGTGAGGATTTGGTGTTGATAGATGTTCCTGAGATATTTAATTTCATTTTTATTAAAAAGTAGTTAATTTAACAATAAGTATTTTATTAAACTAATATTTTTAAATTCTTCCTCCAAAATGAATTAAAATAAAGAGAATGAATATATGGTGGATGTCCAAAGTTATTTCACCAATAAGTGCATGACATCTGCAAGGAGCTCCTCATTGCACGAAGAGAACACGATTAAATTTAGTCGAAGCAAGAATTTATTTGAATAAAAACAATAGGAAAATGAAAAAGTTTAACTATTCACTAGTAAATTTAGGAATTAAAAAAGAGATGGTCAGATATTGCTAAAGATTGGCAAAGAAATAAAAGAGATGTGAAAGTATTCCAATTAGCAGAATTCGGTATACCCATAAGTGCCAGAAAATAAGTCTGGCCTCTCATTGTTGGCAATAAACTATAAATTACTAAGGAACTTTATAATATCTTACAAGTTCAAAGTAAAACGTTTAAAATGGACCAAAGAAAACCCTTAGGAAGATTGTCTTCATTTAATCATATCAAATAAGACTTAGGGAGAACATTCAAAAATGAAAGTATTGATCTTAATTAACAACATCTTTAGGCTTACAAAAGATCTTTCATCCAGGAGGACCTCTAAGCGAGAACTTGCAATCCATTCTTGAAGTGTTCTGCTTATATAGACCAGATATTGGCTATGTATAGGGGATGACTTATATTGGATCAATCCTATTAACGTATTTCGATGACTATCAGGCGTTTGTTATCTTTAGTAGTTTAATAACGCATCCTCAATTAATATCGATATTTATGCTTGATGAACAGAATCTCCAAATCATATTTCAATAATTTGAAAAGCTAATCAAACTCAACATCCCACAAGTTCATAAACTATTTAAATAATATAATATCAATTGTACTAATTATTTGCTCGATTGGATCTTGACTCTCTTTGCTAAACCTTTGAATCCAGATATAGTAGGTAGAATTTGGGACAGGATGCTATTTAATGGTACTCATATTCTATGGAAATGTGGAATTGCTATATTGAAGATATTAGCTCCAAGATTCAAAGATTAGGAGAGAACTCTCTAGAGTTTAAAAAATCCTGAAATAAAAGATGATGATTTGTTATAAGAGATGAAGAGTGTTAATTATCCCTTTGAGATTTAAGAGGTTTTAGGTAATATTGAATTATGATATACTTCACATGCATATATTTATTCTCTTTGTGATATTCACATTTGATCAAAATATTTATACAAGTCTGTCCAACCAATTCTTTTGTCTTGGTCGTATTCTAACATCGAGTTTAGAATGAACTATGTCTTCTCTGATGTTTTTGTGTTCTCAGGATGAACGATTTCTCTTGATAAAGTGTTATTTTACTTTTATTTTTAGTTTCATACAAATAGATTTAGTGATTCGAATCAGAGAAGGGCAATTCTCCATAAATCATCAAGTAGAAGAGACACCCCAAACTAAAGATATCAGCCGTGTTGTTGTATTATTTAGATTGAACTACCTCCGGAGCCATGTAGCCTAGCATTCCAATAGTCAAGGTCATAGGATTATCATTGTTATACTAAATGCATAAAATTAACAAGTAGACTTACTGAATCCCAGATCTCCTAACTTGATTTAATCATTATGTAGTAGAATATTCTTCATTTTTATGTCTCGATGCATCACATAACATTTTTACAGATCTTGCATTCCTTTAAGCATTTGCTTCACATATGCAATAGCTTCTTATTCGCTAAAGTGTTTATGTTTATCCAGCCAAAGTTTCTCAATGTCTCCCTCTGTGATAAGTAAATTAAGACGTATTACAATTACAGTACTCCATAACAATATATGAATATTTGTTTTATTGGAATTCATCGATGAATCTAACAACATAGTTGCTATTAATGAGTTTCATATTTTGTTTTTCTGTTTCATGTAATTGACCCACTAGTCCTCCATGATTCTTAAAGGTCGACATGGCCACTGCTTTTATTGCTACATTCTCGTTGGTTTATACGTTGACAGCCTTTTTATATTCATGTTCTCTTTACATGATACACTTTGCAATATCCTCCTGATCCAATGAGTTTAACTATTTCATAGTGTTTTAATCTCTTCCCGGGAATGTGTAATTGCTTTTATTACATTACAAATTTAAATTTATATATACTTTGAAATAAATCAAACATCAGGATGGTTTCAATATAAAGAAGTTGATCAAGTCTTCTGTTCTGAACATTTTATGTAGAATATGAACATTCTAAACTATTTGTTGGAACTCAATGAGTTCATTAAAACAGAACATAATCTAGGCATAATTCGTAAATGCTTACAATAACATCGTGGTATTGTGTGATACCAAAGCCTTTGGAATCCCAAACAAAGTAGTTTTATTTGGCATCTGAATTGCCAAGAGATTGGGAGATCATGAAGTCCTTATACAATTCTCCGTATTGTTGCATATAGAACTTGAAAGTCTTAGAATTCTTTCCGAATGGTTAGAACATGGGCAGAAACACTTGTCCTGACGTGTGTCTGACAATGAAATGTTTGATTTGAGTCAAATTCTCTATGCATTTGGGAGTGATTGGGTTATTTTGAAGACATGTGAATAGACTTTGCTCCAGACCATTTTAATCGAATTTCTTAATCAAAATAGAGGATGCCTCCTTGCATTTAGTGAACATGTCCAATGAGTTGTCATCAGATATCATAACAATCCCAATTGTGTTTTAATAGAAGAAGTAGATGTAGGCATACACAAATCCCATAGCTGATAGACCAGGCAAACATACTGGGATCCAGTTCTCTCCCTTTTTCAATTGCCCTTATCCCTAAATCATGCTCTATATGATCATGATGTCGGAGGTCTTAAACTCCATGTTCTTTTGTCTCCAAATGTCGATTACGTAGGTTTCAGTCAATAACAAGGATGCTATCACATTAGCCACCTTGGTTTCCTTTAAATTATTGTGAATAAACGATCTCATTGAGGCTGTCATGGTCAAAGTGCAAATGGAATTGAATGCTATGCATGGAGAATATAATCCGTTCTTTACAGCCAAGGTCAATAGATTTCTTGATCCTCCCAAAGAGTATGCTAGATCATAATTGGGTTTTTGTGTCAATTGGACATTTGCTTGATCTGTGACTATGGATATCAATTAGGTGTTGAGAAAATCCAACATCTGATAAATGATGAATTCTGAGTCCTATGAAGAATAGCAGTAGTGTATACTTGGAGGACATTAGTTGCGCAGATGTAGGTGATTTGATTTCTTTGCAGAATGTAAATATTGCATTTGTCATGTGAAATTCTAAATAGGGTTTGTTTTTCTTTGTCTTCAAAAAAGAATAAAAGGAACTTTTGGAAGATGGCATTGATGGTTGCTAAAAAGATGGATGACTTTTGATATGTTATGAATCTAAATACTTTGATTTCGCTTCCATATCTCACATAGATGGGTCTTCCTGTATTGGTCATAATAATTACATGTCTTTTATGTGTGAAGAACTCTGGGATGTCAGGCGAGATTTCCGAATAGGAAATATTGATGACATGAGGTTTGTATTAGTATGATTCAGTACTCATTAATTAATATTAATTTTCTTATGTGATGTGAACATATTCATTCAATATTATGGCTAAAAGACAGCATTGTATCTGGCAATGGACGGACCTCTTTCGAAATACTCTTATCTAGTGTGATACACCTTCTCAAATTGTGGCTACGATCTAAATATACACACATACTTATAATGCCATCAAACTACCTCCCTACCAAACAGCGTATCTTTGGAAGGGGTTCTGAGTGACATTGACTTTGATGGATGCAGGCTTGAATATAATGAGATAGATCATACTTTGAATCCAGACCTTTGTTCGTATTTTTAGAGTCTGGAATCAATTCTCAGTTAAACTTGTTGCTCCAATCTTTGAGAAAAACCATCAAACAAAGTGGATCCACCAGATAAGATGATATTTTGATATAGTTTCTTTCTGCAATCCACAGGAGATGTCTGTATGGATTTATCAATGACTTCATCAATGGGAGATCTCCATTTGCCATCCAAGAATTCTGGATGGAAGAACATCTCAGGTCCTAAGAATCTTTCGTAACCAATATCGATTGTGTATTTCTCTTTGGTAACTGAGTTCTTTCCATAATAGGTTTTGAATTTGTTCTTGTCTCCTCTGTCGTAAGCTTGGAATTCCTTGATTAGATCTCCATCTCCAATACAATATCCATATTTCTCCTTGACTTCCCTGGCTACTTTTTTGATATCTTCTGCTGGTATGTTTTCTCCTCTCTCCTTCAATAAATTTTAGACAAATTGGGTGATGTCTCTTCCTGCCAATGGAATGTGCTTGATACATGATCCTATCACGTAACCATCTGAAACTGGAATGCAATGTGTTACACCATCTCCTGAGTCCAAAACCATGCCTGTTAATCCGGCTGTTTTTTGATAATCATTCACAGGAGCAAAGGCACTAGAAAAAAGGGATAAGACTGCCTAAACTGAAATGTGCAATCCTTTGGCATTGAATGTCTCAAAAAAGATTTCTGCGATATTCTCTCGATTTTCAGGAGGATTCTATATATCATTATTGCATATTTACCATAGGAGGTTCAGTCAAAATGAAGGTTGTTTCATCTGGTTCAGCCCTGAGGTAATCAAATATGCTCCTATGCCAAAACTTCTCCATGAGATCCCAATTTTCTACGATTCCACTCTTCATTGGATAATAGATATTGTGAGACTTTGTGTAGTCATAAGCCTCGTATCCAATGTAGTAATCCAAATTCTCATTAGTATTCTTGCTCATTTGAACTTTTTACTAATATCAATCTGTCGAATTACTTTCTCTTGATGATCTGCCACTACAGTAGGAATATCGAATTGTGGCTCAGTATTCCCAGCCCATCCCATCTTTGTAAACCCAGTACCTACGATGCACTTCAATCAAATACCATTGTCGATGACGCAAACCTTGCTTTGATAAAACCCTTTGTCAATTGTTTATTGCATATGATACTCTATATATATATATTATATTAATAATTATTCATTAAACTCATCATAATAAGTTATAAAATGATCACCCTTTTCTATTAAGACCATGAACAAGTTATTGATTATATTTCATTTTTAGATAATTGATTCCTTAAATTATAAGTATCATTAATCAATTTTATTAATTCCTATTTAGATTCCACAATTGCCTCTTCTTTTGAAAGATTCAAACCCATAAGTCCCTGAATTTTATACATGGTATGAATATTAAGTCTTCCTACTCATCAAAAATAAATAATTAAGTTACCTAACAAATTTCTTTTAAATTATATGCCTCCAATTAAAGGTTTTACTATTTTTAACTACCCATCACTCGAGATGTCTCTTTCATCAAGTTAAAATTGATATTAATTTAGGTTCATCTATGAATGAAATTTATAATTCATCTTATTTATCAATCCATCTTCTACCGCCTTTATGGAAAATCAGGATGTCCCTATTACTTTTATATGATTGCTATCAGAAGTTTAAAAGATATTAAGAAATATTTCCTATCACTAGAATCTTAAATCAATTTACTTACAATTTCATAACAAACCAGCATGTAATCTATAATCTATTACTTTTTTTCCTATTTCTATCAACCCTCATTCCATCTGAGTTTCCATTACTAGAAGGAATTTATGGAACACATTATCAAATTTATATGTTATAACAAATATTTAGTAAATGACAATTATGTTATTCAATTCCATTTTTCAGTTTGTTCTTATTTTTTCATTCAGACTCCTTAGCACTTGGACTTCGAAGTGCAAAATAACTTCCTCGCAAAACACTTAAAAAGAGATATGAAGATATCTAAAAAAATGAAATTATTTGGCTATACACAGATGATTGGCTACTCTAAATTTTACAGAACATAAATAAAATCCTTAGATTTTTTAGTATATATATGCAGCAATTAGTCCCCTCGACATTCTACAATTATTAAAATCATTTATGATTGAAAGAGGACAAACAGTTTACACAAACTTCTATTAGATCCAGATCAACCCAAACAGCCACATTTACAGATATCAAGTAAGATATGCATCTCTATTCTTTCTCAGCTTTCATTTCAACCATTCTTATCTCCAGAACAATAGATATCGAAGTGGAGAGACATTTTCAAGATTGCTAAGTCAGGTCTTCAAGAGAACCTGAAGGTTTTCATAACCAACAATTAAATCCTCTATTCCCCTGTGAGAGCTCAGACCATGGGACTACTACTTGGAGTATACGAAGAGGAAGGAACCAGTCATTCGATTTCGATTGAAGAGAAGGCTGTTCTCAAGCCTGGAGAACCTGAGTACACTGGGTTGATCGGAAGATTCTTTAAGATGTTATTAAAACAGTAGAAACTGTTACAGATAGGTAGAAAGTACTTTAATACTAAAAATTTAATTAATTTTGATTAATTTGGATTGAAAGTATATTTTAATTATTAATCATCAGGTTCTACCAGGAGTGACATGCAGTTTGATAAAGTAGGAAGAACAAGGGAAATATTACATCAACATAGACTCTTCATTTAAGATGTTGAGGAGTACCACTATGTATGAGGAGTTGAGGAATTCGAGAGACTTCTCATAATTGGAAGGGGCCATCGTGATGACGGTCTACAATTACAAATTCTATAAAGTGAATAAAGTAAGTAGGGAGATGAATCCAAAGAGTGAATTTGAAAATTTGAAAGGCGAAAAGATGAGTTACATGCAATACTACTAAGATAAGTAAGAATAGAATAATAACACATAACAGATACAAGATTGCCATCAAGGATGTTACCTAACCATTGATTGAAGTCTTAGAGAAATCAAGGAAGAAACAAGAAGAGAAGATCATCTACCTAATACCAGAATTGTGTGTCATGACTGGATTGTCAAATGAAATGAGGAACAACTTCTAAACTATGAAATAGCTATCCACAGTTACTAAACCCAGAGGAGTAGACAGAGTGAGACAGGCAGATCAATTTATATAGTGTTTCCACAATAAGGAGAGTGAAGAATTAATAAAGAAATGGAATATTCAATTGGAACCTAAGTGTTTGTAGATTCAGAGTTCTAAAATCAAACCAGGCAACATTATGATGGGCAATAATACAGCCATCAATATAGAAACAGGTAATTTAGATAGAGATACTCAGACTGCCATGTTGAGAGGAGTGGGTCTGGAGAATTGGGGAATCCTGTACAGTGATAGAGACAGTAGATAAGCTGAAGATTTCATGAGTTGTTTGAGAGAGAGCATAGAATATTGTAAGTTTTAATGCAAGGCTCCTCGTACTTTTGTGCTTCATTCAAATAGAATTGAAGATTGGATTAAGTAAGTCGATTAAATTGTTTAACAATCATAAGGACCTTAAAAGGTGACCTTGCTCCTATTGATATTGAATGGTCCAAAGAAGAATGCTCCACTCTATACAGACATCAAAAGATATTTGATTAATGATTGTCCAATAGCCTCCTAGGTTATCTTGAGTTCCACTTTAAATCAACCCAAAGGCAAAGTGAAGACTATTTGCAATAAGTTATTGGTTCAAATTTGTGCTAAAGTGGGAGGAACACCTTGGGGAGTCTCAGAATTACCATTTACTGATCAACCAACCATGATATGTGGTATGGATGTGTATCATTCGACTGGCAAAGCTAAGAAGTCTATGTTGTCATTTGTATCTACAGAAGATGAATTCTTTAGCAAATACATGACCTAATCAATTGAAATGGAAACTGGAGTAGAATTCTCATTCAGTTTGTGTCCAGTCTTAGTCAAATCCCTGCAATCCTTCTGTGGAGACAGGAATGGTCCTTTGCCATCCAGAATCATTATATTTAGAGACGGTGTTTCTAATTCCTAAGCTAAAACTGTTATTGAAACAGAAGTAGCCTAATTCAGACAAGCCATAGAGCAAGTCAAAACAGAAAAGAATTCTGACAAACCAATCAAATTGATAGTATTATCAGTCAACAAAAAAGTAGGGGCTAAATTTTATGCTGGAGAAAGGTTAATTATTATCATTATTATTCCCTTAGGAACTTGGACAATCCTCCTTAGGGTACTTTGATAGACACAGAGATTAGCAATGGAAAGGACGATTATTATTTGATTTCACAAAGAACAACCTAAGGAACAGTGTAGCCCACTCATTATCATGTCTTAGTGAATGACTTGTGCGATGAACCTAATATCCTGAAGAAATTGTAGGCCTTGTCTTATAAGTTGTGCTACATGTATTACAATTTCAGTGGAGCCATCAAAGTAATTGTTATCGTTTTAGTAGATACCTGCACCGATCCAATATGCCCATGTTTGCTCTAATTTTATAGGAGATAGATTCGATCCCAGGAAACCACAATCCTTGATCAAGCCAAATCCCATATTGAATCAGAGAAGATCGCTCTTCTTCATATGAACATTATTAAATCAAAATAAATAAATTAGAACATTAAATCATAATTATTACTATTACTGATTCTCCTACAAATTTTACAAATTGAGATGATTACCATCAACACCTTTGAGTCTTCTGAAGACCTTTGCTTGCTGGTATAACTTAGAGACATCCTCATCATCATCATCTTCATCATCTTCCAAGTCCACACGTTATTTTTTAATTTATGCTTTTTTTGACAATTTTAAGTATTTATTAACCGTATCTTCTGAATCTTGACTTGTTTAGATAACCTAAGCTCCCTATTCTGATCTGAATCTATCCAATCTCTCATAACACAAAGGTGCCAAATTGTATCTAGCACTCTCATCCATCTCATCAAGTATGTCAATTGGAATATTTCTTATTTAACATTATCTCTTTACTTGCATTCAGTTTCTGTCACTTTGTACAATATTTGTTTATTTGGATAAGCCGAATAACCATAACGCTTCTTGTAATCTCTTTCTTTCTCTCTTATGAATTCAGGATCCTCTGGAAATGACTGATATCTCGATTACGTTCTCTCCTCAATCATCTGAGAGTTCCATCTCCACATTATCACAAACAACACCAAACTCACTACATACAATTCTGGACTGTTCCTCATACTATGGAAGAATGGGTTGTCCTCAATAAATTTGTGTCTCTATCTATGAAAGTCCTTCTCCTCGAAATCTTGAGTCTTCTTTCGAAAATCATAGTAAAACTAAGCATTTGGATTTATAGGTCTCTATTGCTACTGTCTCCATTGTTGAGAATATTGAGTTCTCGTTTCTTAATTCTACTGTTTCCCATTTGGTTATTGCTGTTATTCAGTCAAATTTCTATCGTACTTCTTCCTCTCATTTTCATCGGATAATGTATTATATGCTGCTACAATTGTTTTAAACAATTCCTATAATTAAATTTCAATGATACTTGGTCACTCTCCTTAGCATTGGGAGAATCAGGATGGTGCTGTTTGGCCAGAATGTGAAATTCCTTTTTTATTTCCTCATTTGTAGCATCCCTACGAACCCCCAGTAATTAATAAAAATTTTGAGTTGAGAATCTACATTTACTAAATATTCTTAACATAAAATTAATAAATTAATCATCGAATGAAAAACTTCATGAAAGTAAACACTCATAAAAATGAAATCGCCACCAATGATAAAGTATTAAAAGACATAGAACTATATCAAAAAATATTTTTATCAACAAAGTATGAAAATAAAAAACAATAATCCTTGTCAATCAGAAGATTATTGCCAAACATTTAATATTCCCAGCATCAGTAATCAACTCTTACTAGTCAGTAAAAAATTACCACTCAATTCGATTAAGATACCAGTTATACAAATCGCAATTAATAATAGGTAATAAATTGCAAATACCTTCTCTAGGATGTCAGAAAAAAACAAATACACTTCTCCTTAATCGATTGTTCTAAGTTTTTAAAGACCTCCAATTCCACTCACTATGTTCAATCAAAAAAGTAAACTTCTCCACTCAAGCAGAAAATTGTTATAGTGAATCATCAAGGCAGACCTCTAACCTATTTCATTTGATGATTGTCAGATTTTTATTGCTACTATTCAATTGAAATACCAATCAATTATTTATAAAGTTTTGTTATTAAGTCTCATTTATTTTGATTATTCAAAATTTGCAAAATTTAATTATTTATTAAATTTATTATTGATATTTGCGCGGTATGCCGAAATAAACAAAAAGTGCCAAAACACAACAAAATCAAGAATAATAAGAAACCTAAACTAAATATACAAGATCATCTAAAATTGAAGAAATCGAGAAAAAATGTTCTGATTACAAAAAAATCTAAGAACAAATTTAAGAATTAGGGTTTCCTGTAAATCCAGCCTCTGAACAAGTCATCAAAGATATTATTGAGAAACAGGATTAAGTCTAATTAGGTAAATATTTAGCTTCTCACTATTGGGGAAAGCAATCTGACTTACTCACCAAAATTAATGAAAAATTAGTTGAACATGGTTTTTAAGTCACAGACGACCTTCAATGCGAGCAGATTATCACCATTAATATCAATAACAACAATATTGGAAAAAAATATGATTATAAAAAATTGTTTGAATTAAAGGACACTGCTTGTCCCTCACAATTATTAAATGTGGATCATTACAGCAGTGAAATCATAACTAAGTTTGTTGAATCCACTGACAATCCAGAATTATAATAACTATTGACAATCAGAAAGAACATCCAAGATCTACTAAACAAGTTGGATAAAATTAGAATATTTTCAAATAAATTATCGAATATTAAATCTTAGTCTGCTGAAGATAAGTTATTGAAATAATTTGACAATTTAGAAAAGGACTATTACCTTGTTAAAAACACTTAATTCAACTTTGATAAACTATCCTAACAGAAAAAGGCAAAGACTTCAAAGAAAAAAGGAAACCCTAATGAAGGTGACAATAATCAAGAAGACAATCATCATAAGCAAGATGAACAAGTTCAAAAAGACAATAATTAGCCCGATCTCAATTAGTTAAACACTAATCAAGAAGAACAAAAGTCATAAAATAAAGCAAAATAAAAAAAATCTAAATAAAGTAAACCAAAGAATAAAGAACAACTACCTGAAAATTAGGATGGAGAATAAAATGCTGAAAAGCCATAAAATAAAAAAGAAAAGAAGGCCAAAAAGTCAGAAGCCAAATAAGAAAAAATCACAGAAAATCAAGAAGAAGTAAAATAAACTAAAAATAAAGTTAAAAATACAGGGGATCAACAAAGTAGTACAAAAAAGGAAACAAAACCAAAAATCAAAAAACCAAATAATTCATAATAAGCATAAGAAGATCCAAAATAAAAAAAATTAGATTAGTTTTTCAAAAAGAAAACTTAATGATTTATTAGATATTAAAAGTAAAGATATTCTATTCTTCATATTAAACCATCTTATTTTCTATTTACAATCAAATTTTAAGTCTAGTGTTATATACTCTATTCTAATAAGATGAAAACAATAAAAGAGAGTTAAATTAATAATGTTTTACATATATTATAAATTTAGTAATTAAAATTTATCAACTCTTTTTTGATGATTCTTACCATTCTTTAAACTTAGGATTCTCCTACAATTTTTCAATATGATATTTCGTTAGCTGTTATTTATTTTATTCAAACTCTGATGGAGACTATTTTATATAGCTTTGTTCATATATTGATTTCTATTACTATTTAGCACACTGTTTAAATCTAAAGCTAGTTATTATTTTACTTAATAAGCTAGAGAGTTAGAACCAAAAAAATTGAAATAAATATTAGAGTCTCAACGATAATCTCATTCTATTAGTCTTCGAAGAAGAAAAACAATGACATCCAAAATTGAGGTTTGCTGATTTAAATTAATTAATAAAATATCAGATCTAATTTTGCTTTAATTCTACATAGTTTATAAGTTTGGCGGGACTGGTATTTAAATTATAATACTTATATAATTCTTAATTATTACATTAATTTATAATTATTTATACGATACTTATTAGAGTAAGATGAAATTTTAATAATTTTCGTCAACATTCCCATTCAGCACAATCCTTATTTATTAATTGTCCTTTAAACCTTTTTTGAGAAGTTCATGAGAATAAAACAATTTTTTGCCATTATAATATATACTCATTTCAGAATTGATCATAATTTACTAACGAATTATATAATTAAAAATGAAGAAGGGAAGGTTTAATTTGTACTAAAAATGCAAGGAGATTCCTAAAAGATCAATTATAATTCTTTTGTGTTGATTTCATTTTTTTCTTCTCTGTTAAGGTAAATTACAAACTTTTGATTAAACATTAAATTATTAAGATTAAGTTATAGATTGAACTCAGGTTTAATGAGTAGTTGATAATTGAAGATTAAATTTATTAAAACTCCTTCATAATTATAAATTTTAATAATAATAATAATAATGATGATGTCATAAACTTTTTAATTATTTAACTAAAATTTATAGTTTTGTACTTTAGTCATCGAAATCCTTCACTTATGTTCCAGATACGCTAAGTTAAATATTCTAACTCAAATAGTTAATTTATAATGCTATTATAATCTCTTAATATTTTAAGATAACCATATTATATTTATCTAAAGCATAAAGAGCAGGTATTTCAAAGAAGATCTTGTAAGTTCTTGAATGATTATACCTAGTAAATGAAAATAAATGTAAATTTATAATGATGAATGATATTGTGCAAATCAATAAAAATTCAAATCAACATCTGCATTGCAAACAGTTTGATCTCCGTTATATTATTTTATGTTAGGAGTAGTCCATCCACCAAATGAATATTTAGCGTAATCAGAAAATGATGGACTATTGTCATAATGAGCATACCAAAGAGGTAATGACGTAAATTTAGCACATGCTGAAGCTGATCCAAAAATAGTTTCCCATTAGTATTTGCTAGAATAAATACCTATGGTTTTTCCTTTGTTTTTGAAGTTTGTGATCAAATCATTCAAGAAATTGCAATTTCCTGTGTAATCAGAGCTGCTCCATCCACAACCAGTACTTGGGTTAGTTTCAACATCTACCCAGATAGTTCCATATAATCCATTGGTTGAGTTCTCTTCTTCTTATCCGAATGCACTAATAAAATCAGAGACCTATTAAGCGGCTGTGATTTCTAGGAAATGTAAATTCTCATAAATTACTTCCTTTGCATGGGAAGAAATATGCATCTGTGATTAATCCTGCAGCTTAGGCATTTTTCATATTTGTGGCACCATTTGGATCGACAGCTCCATAACTTCTATATCCACGAATGATGGCAAATTGATAACCTGCATTTTTGAAACAGGTAAAGTTATTAAAGGCGTCAGCTATATCTATGCCTTTAACGGCTAATGTGGATGTAATTAAACAACTGATGATGCAAAGAGTGATGATTTTTTATTACATTGTAAAAAATTAATTGATGAAATCATATAATACATCTTTAGTGAAAGTTTAACAAAATAGTTCCAAGTTTATCTAAACAGGTCCAAGACATCTGCGCTATTCTTTTTCCTTGGCTCTTGTTTACAAACACAGCCATTAATATGAACCATAAGATTAGTATTCTGACAGCATTAAGGAATGGGCACATTTGTTATTTTAATTATGAACCCTTAATTTCTTTAATTTGTTTAAAAACAATAATTTTATGGAGTAGAGATGATCTAATTTGTATACCACTCTATATATATCTTCAAGTTGAGGTTAATATTATGAAAAATTGCAGAAAATGTTAATTTTCAATGAATTCCCTTAAATATAACTACTCTCCTTCAAATAAAGGATGAATTTAACTTAAAACAAGAGACATCTTATTTGATGTATAAATTCTTATATCATAATCAGAATTAGAAATAATTGTTTCATTTGAATTAGGCATTTTATAATAATGAAATAACATGCCAATAACTATTTTGTCAAGAAAATGGCCAAACCAATTTCATAAGTAAGTACAAATTCTGCAGTTACAAGATCAAATGAATTGAAGCCAACTTCCTATTTAACCTTTAGCAGAAGTAAACATCGAAGAAAGAATGAGACAGCTATAAAATTACCTGAGTTGCAGCCCAGTTCTGCTCGTGCTAAAACTGAATAAGATTAAATAGGCTAAAATGAATTCAAAAAATCAATTGTCATTATTAGTAGAAAGCCAAGTGCTACATTAATTTCTCAAAGAATAAAAACATCGCCCTCCATCCAACTTTGGGAACCAGAGTAGGTATTAAAACCACTAGCCGAAGAAGTCTAAGTATTAACTCCAAAATTCTATGATGTTCTTTGCGAAGAGTTAATATTAAGTTAAAAGTAGTCCAAAATCAAGGAGAAAAAACATATATTTTGTAAGACCAAATTAAATGAATATGACAAGTTTTAGGAAAAAAGCTCTCGTATGATCAGAAAGATTATTCAACTACTTAAAACTCATAGAGAAAGAAACGAAGAAAGAGAATTGAAAAGCAAAACTATGATTGAAACTTAAATGGCCAAATCTAACATTTTTTTCCATGCTTAGACCTATTATTTACCTGAATAACCTCATTTTAATCAGAAAGAACTCCTCTTTCAATAACAATTGTCAGCCATACCAAAAAGACATACAAAATATAGTTCATAGTTAACATTAACTCATTAAGCTGAATCATTTAAACCAATGAAAAGTTTAATTGAAGAAATCAAAGAAAAATAATAAGATCCCATTAAGTAAGCTTCAATTTGTCTTGTATCACCTAATTGTCAATCAAATAACAAGAAAAAAATTAAGTTAGTAATAGAGTGCTTAGAAGAATAGAAATATAAATAGTTTGAATTTTTTGCCCCTGAATATATGGAATAAGATTAATTAGTTTCAGTTTAACTAATCAATAATGTAGTAGAATCTAAAGATACAAAATAATCAAATATCTATTCTTTGGTCTCTAAAAATATGTTTAGCAAGTAATCTATTTAATTAAAGTAGAAAAATGAATTAAATTTAGAGTCTTAATGGATCAACACTAGATGAGTTTAACTCTGATAAGGCAACATAATTCACAAGATATTATTTGTAAAATTATGTGTTAAAATGCATAAATTAAAAGAAAATAAAAGACAATAAAGATTCAAAACCTTAATAGAACATATTGAAATAAGATACTAAACTAGAACCATAAATCTTTGTTTCAAAATTCCCTCTGGATTGCTCTATTATTGTAATTATTAATTATAGTTAAGAAAGACTTTTAAACTACTTAGTTTGTTGAAATTAATTCTGAGATTTACAGATGTATTGAGCCATTTGATTCATAAGATTCTAGTATGATTTCTGACAATAGTTTCCTCAATGATAAAAGTTAGATTGATTTTTCAACAGATTAGGGATAGAAACTAAAATTACTACTTGCATCAAATTTAATTGATCCACATGTAATCTAACAAAATTTAATCAAATTTGTTATATCAACGATTTCTGATGAATCCAAAAATGGTTTACTTCATCAAGAAATTATGGCTTTTGCAAATTAAGTTGAATAAGTCATTCATATAGATTATGATTTGCCGCATCAACCACGTAAAACAACAAATATAAATATTTAGATTTGGAAGCTTTAAATCGACTCTTCCTTCGAATTAATAAAAATGATAGAAAAAAATTTCTGAAATCTTTTTTTAAGAAATTTGATATTATTAGCATTGGATATTTTGAAGATTGCTTTAAGCATCAACTCAATAATAAGGAGAAAATGTTTGTTAAATTATGTTATCAATAATAAATCAATAGTTTAACTGATAATACTTCCATAAAATATTCCAACATGCTAAAATCTAAACATTATAGAGAAACTACAATGGAAACTATTCCTAAATAACAGACAAACTTAATGATATTATCTCTACCTCCTGCTCCTATCAAAAGTAGATCAGAATCTCCTTCTAATCTTGTATTTATATATAATCTATAATTAAGAGCGACTCTAGAACATAGAAAAACAGTCGTTAAAATTAATAAGTTCTCATTAAAAACATTTTTAAAAGTATATAATGTCATTGATTAAATTTTAGAACAATCCTAAAGATTTTTGCAAGTATAAACATCTTCAAAGTTTTAATTACAGTAGTAAATTCCTCAAGGACAAAAACTCTCAATCGTTCCAGAAAAAGAATAATAAAACATTAATAAATAGAATAAGAAAATAAGTTTGAATTCAATTTAAAATAATCTGAAATATTTATCAATGGACCCATAATCATTACTATTAAGAAATATGATGATTTAGAAAACAAAGAATGATGATAAAACTTTATATGAAAGAATATTTCTGATGGTTTGTGAACATCGACTTTAAGATTTGAAAGAAATTCTTAAGTTGGAAACATCAATTGATTTAAATTACTAAAATGATGATGGTGACACAATGCTAATTTCAGCATCTCAATGTGGAGCTGCCTCAATTGTAGAATTTTTAATAAAAAATGGTGCTGATGTTTCAATTCAAAATGTATGATCTTAATTGAAAATTATATAGTATAATGGATAAACAGCCATGGATGTAGCATTAAAAAACTATCAATTCTAAACTGCAGATATCATATTTAAGTATCTTTATCCAGATAATAAAAATTTATGAGCACATTGATTTTATGTAAATAATTCACTTTGGAGTCAGATATTTAGCTTTAGATTATATCTTTATTGGTTATAAGAAAGACTGATATTATTAATGTTTAATTGTTCCACTGGCCATCAATGAAGTTAACAGTTAATCTGAACGTCCACATTGTAGTAATAATAAAGCATTTCTCAAACTTTAATTACTTTGTTTTTTCCATTTTAAAATTTCATTTAATTCTAATTCCTCCTTTTCTTGTGTCTGATACCTCTTTTGTTTATTTGGGGAAGTGAATTATTCATTCTATTATAATTTTTGATCTCCAGAACATACTTGGACATAATCTATAGGTTTTAAAGTCAAACGTTCAATAGATTTGTTATGTTGTTTTTTGATTGAATAATTATTTTATTTAATATGCTCAGTATTATTACTATTTTCCCCAATTGCATCATCCCCTTTTCTATTTTCTGGAGCATATTGTGATCTTCTGAATTTATAATTCTTCCTCTAACCTTACATCTCTATGCTACTGCTCAATTAATCAGTGAGTTAATTTTTTTTATCCTCCTCCTTAGTTTGACTATCCAGCTACTTAAGTGTAGGATTCTTTGGTGCTTGATAGCTTTAATGCTAATTAGTATCAACTTTGAAACTATCTTCTAAAGTGTACTGAGTCAAAGATCTAAAATTTTATTAATCCTTTATTATTTGTTAATTATTCTATTAAAAATTAAGGGAATCATCACATTATTCAGGAATAATTTAATTTTATCTAGCTCTATTCACTTAATTGAAAATCATAGCGTTTAAATTTTTAATTCTATTTTTTAATTTTTATTATCTGTCTGAAACTCTTATTTTTTCATTTTCACAAAAAGATTCATTTTTATTGACTCTCCTAATTGATTATTGCAATGATTTATTTCTATCAGTGTCATTTGAGTTTAAACTATTGAGCATGCTAATCTTTTCTGTTTCTATGTTAATTTAACTTAAACTAGTTTAGATTTTTGATGGTTTAATAGACTTTATCTAATTTTCTGTGACAGTGAATTCTCTTAATTTTTCTAAAAGTATCGATTTCAGGGTATCATTTTCATTGTATTTAGAATTCAATAATTTAATCTATGAGTAGTAAGTTTTGATTGTTTATTAAATTTAGGAATTTCTTTGCATTAATTTATTAAATTTATATTCGTAAGTGCTGGATAAGGTGTCATAATTTATAATTGGTTGTATCAATTGTGGATTGATCAATTGAAATTGTGGCACATCTTGAATTGAAAAAATTGATATTTCTCTCAAAGGACGAGTGTTGGGTTTCAATTCAAAGAGTTTAAGATTGAGGATCGAGTAAGGTTGTTGATAATCTGGGTTTCTCTGGTTGAAATACTTTGATTGTAGAAGTGAGATGTAATCAAAATCAAGTTTATTGTTAACAACTTTTGGCTACAGAGGTTCTTCTGAGAGTCGAATAGAGAGAGAGGTGACTAATCGTAACTATTATAGGGATTCACTTCTACCCTTTGTTATTTAAAGACTTCTTCGAGTGTTATTCCTCCATAATTTATTTACTTTAAGCTTTGAGTGAACTTCAAGTGATCTCGAAATTGTAAGGCTGAATTAACAGGAAAATACATTTTATAATAGGAGAATGTCAAATTTACTATTTAGACAAAAGAATTCTAAAAATAATCTAAATCCCATTAAGGCCATCTCTCTGTTTTTAATATAGTATTTTCAACCTTCTAATTGACTTAGTCAATTTCCAAAATGAGCTCATTTTAATCATTGAGTTACATTTTGGACAAGAGAATTAAATGTTCTCTTTTGACAAAAAGTGAGACGATCTTATTTTTCATTTTCATTTGCTTTTTTTATCAAAATTGTATAAATTTTATATATAAACATTATAATGTATTTATAATTCATATTTTCTCTATTTATTTTTCATTAACAACGAAGCTGGAATCCTCACTTATATATAGAAGAGTATCTTTGATAGATTTTGCATAATCGATCAGTATGTCAAAGTCTGAAACTACTCTAGACATCTTGACATCCTAACCATAGATGAGTTTATAAGTCGATTCTATTGCCAATTATTGATTTTCCATATTCTTATCTCCAACATTGTAAAAATATTCAAGAGGAATGTGTTAATCTACTTAATGAAATTTGTCATTAATAAGTCCATTTTCTGTGCTCAAAAGATCACAAATAACCTTTATTTTTTATAAGTTATTACTTGAGCTTAGATTTCCCAATTCTTCTCCATTCCGACCACATATATTCCACTAATTTAATGAGGATCATCCGTGAGGGCAATATTGATTCCCTTTTGTAATAATGATTATTGGGTCACATTGATCTCAGTGTGGATCTTGTTGTGATATAGTCCAAGTAATTGAGGATAGAGAGTTGTATATTCAAACAATGTGAATGAATTCTAAATTGGAAGGGACTTACCTATGATCAATATTGGATTTTTGGCATATTTTGCTCTTGCTTATACATAACTAAATTTCGAAATGGCATTAACATCATTTGGGATATTGAAGTTAAATTCAATTGAATTAGAAATGAACAATTTTGCATTTTGAATTTCGCTATACTTAGAAGCTACTCTTTAATCTAAAATGATATTTTTGAATTATTTCCACATAATATTATTATATGAATAAATGCATCTAATGGATAAAGCATTTGCTGAGTAAATGCATATCTATTTTTCAATATTCGAAAATCAAAAGCTCAGACCAGAATTATCAGATGTCGTAGTTTAGTTAGGTCGAGTTAAACCCAGACAAAGAGATTAAAAATAATTTGAAGGTAGAACTAAAGAATGAAAGTAAAGCAAATTATCATTGACAATTTAGATTATGAAACCGAATTGGCCACATAGGATTTAGAAACTAAACTCTAATCTTAAAATTAGAAGTTGTTGGAAAAATCCAATGATTTTGACATCCAAGAAAATCAAATTAATCTAAGTCAGGCTCGAGAGTTCATTCAGAATATTCCCAACATGGATCTAAAAAATGTTGAAAGCCTAACAGAAGTTGGAATCCAAGCTGTAGAAATATTTAAAACCTAACTTGAAGATTGTGAAGGCTATGAACTGCTTGAGAATAATCAAGATGAATTTGTTTTTTGGATTAGATATTATGAAACACCTGAAAAGTTTCAAATTACATAAATGAGATATAAGTTCACACTCAACACAACAATTTAAAATTACATTTCATTTATGAGAGACCTACAACTACAGAAGTAACTAGATTCATCAGTGGATTAGTTTGAATCTCATTATTCAGATGAAGGATTACAGATCAATTACTTGAGATATAAGAAAATACTTTTTATGGACCCAAGAGATTTTCTATATATCAAATACACAAAATTTATTGATGAAGATACTGTGATTGAAATCAGTAAATCATTTGAAAATCAGGACTTTCAACCTTAGTATCTTAATATTTTAACATAGTGTGCCCACGACCAAATCAACTACACGAGCCATTCTGCTTTTGAGTGGAAATTTAATAAAATAAGTGGAACCAAATAAAATTGAAATTTTAACATTCTCTGAATGCAATATGAAGTTGAAATTAAAACCAGCCATGACTAAATCAGCCAGCAAAAATGAAATTAAGAAATTGATAAAAAAATATCGTGATCATTTTAATTCAATTTAATGATTATATATAATTAATCTAATCTCATTCTTCTTATATACATAAAGTTCATCTCGAGAATAACAAATACAAGTCTATTGTAATCAACAAGTCTCAAAACTCAATCAATTATTTGAAGCTACAAATTATAAATTTATTGCATAATCTTAACTTAAATTAATTTATTTACTCGTTAAATGAACCTAGATTAAGCATTCACATTTGGATAGGATTGTTATAATCAAGATTTAGCCAATCCATCTAAGCATCCCAGAATCAGTAAAAAATCGCCTTTTTATTCTATTGTCAAACCAACTACGTAATATATGTCACTATAAGCAAGATCACAAAAAAATTATCGAATAAAGGATCCGTCGGTCCAATAATTAACATAGACCATTTAAAAGAATACTAATAAGGAGAATTACAATTCTCATTAATAAAATGTTGTTGTACCTAAACATACGCGAAATCCAACTGATCTTAATTTGATAAGATTTGACACATCTCCGAATTCCAAAATAGAAATCTCGAACAATTCAAGATCCAACAACTAACCATAAGACCATTAAAGAAGACTTTCATTCAATACTCCCAATCAAACTATTAGAACTTCATTGCCCCCTGTTAATAATACTGAAAAATATAAAAAAATAGCCATTTCAATGAAAGAACTCATCTAAAAATAAAAATACTGCTATGAAATCGGAGATTATGAATAAATAGAGCTTATATTTGAAAAACTTGATTTACTTTGTGATTAACTTTGATAAATATATATATTAATTAATTATACTATAAAATATAATCATAAAATTATTGGCATATCAAAGTAGATTTTAATCCTAAAATTTATAGAAACCCCAAATATGAACTCATTGAAAATTATAATCTTTAAAATTTAATGAATATTTGGACCAAATCTTCAAGTTGTTTGGTTCAATAATTGAAATTAATGAAAAAATTTAGTAACTATCCATAATGCACTTTTAATCTTAAAAAAGTTAGGAAATATTGCTTTCAATTCTCTAGTAACAGTGTTTTAGTAATAATCATTGCAATAAAAAATGATTAGAATTTTATAAATCGGAGGGAATCATATGATAACAATCTTAAGTAATTTGTAAACGTTAAGAAATTTTAAGTAAAATCTCAATAAGCATCAACACAAAATAAGAATTTGTAAGTATATTTAAGTCAATACAAAAAGCTAAATTTTATGGTGATTTAATTTTAAAATATCAAATTTATCTTTTGAGTTTTGTTGTATGATTATCCATTCTAGGAATTGTGATTACTTAATTATTTGACATCCAAAATTCAAGAATAAAAATAATTTGTAGATGATATTAATTTGCTAAATATTTTTTAGTTGTTTTATTCAATAAATTATAAAATTAACGACTTATGAGTAATGCTGCAGAAAAAATAAGTGATTTATTCAATGTTTCCCTAAATGAACTTGAAACGAATATTGTTGCAAGTGCTGTCAAATTCAATTCATAACCTTAGCGTTTGCTTGATGTATAATTTATAATAATGTTGTTTAGGAATTATAATAATCAGTGATGGACTTTAAGTCTAAATTTTATGAATCTCTGCATAACTTATTACAATTTATAGCTTAAGTTAATAATGGCAAGGATATATTAAAGATAGCTCAATAAGTCGAAACTAACATAACAAAATTCAAATAATAATAACTTCTTGTGTAGATGAAAGTAGTGCTTAATAGCAAACTAAAAGCTTTATTGGAAACATTTTGTGGAGAAAATCAACAAAAATTTGAAGTATTAAATTTTATAAAAATTATAGGTCTAAAATTAAATCAAACATCTTAAAGAGTCATTGTTAAAGATTGAAACAACTCTAATGGAATAGTAATAGCTGACATCTACGCCATAATAAAATTTTATAACTCCATATCCAAAGAAAAATTTTATCACTGCATCCTCTTAAGATATCTTGACACCTAATTTAAGTGATGAAGCTGAAATGAGAGGGAAAGGTTTCTTCATCACTCCGGAAAATAGACAACAACAGCCAAGGCAATTTGATCACTCTTAATAATAATATTCTTCAAATGAAAGTAACTCTGTATAATAAAATAAAACTTTAAATTCCTTCGACAAAGAAAAATCTGAAGATAAAACAGATTTACAAAGCCCATTTTTTGGATTACAATAAAATCATCCCCAACAACCAAAACTGTTTTAAAATGAAATAATGAATGATTATTTGCAAAGAGTTCCTCTGGATGAAGGTCCTTAAGAATCGCAATTATTAGATGAATCTAATCAATATTTTCATTAAGATCAAATAATTAAAACAACACAACAATAATAATAATAATAATAATAATAATAATAATAATAATAATAGCAATAATCGAATAAGAATCAATAAAAGTAGCAAGCATAACCTTAAAAATAAACTCAATGGCAAAATTTATAATTATAATAAACATTCTAACATATAGATTCATTATAAACTACTAGAACTGAACAATTTGAAACTCAAGCTAGAGTATCAACTCCAAAAGAAAATTAGATCTAAACTCGAAATTAATCAGTTGAACCAAATATCAGAGAGATTTCTTAATCGCCTAATGGAAAAAGATTAATACAAACTTCAAAATCAAAGGAACCATTTTCTAGATGCAGATCATCTTTGGAAACAACAAATCTGCTTCAAAAATTAAACTCAGCTGAAGCATCAAAGTCAACCAATAAACTTAATAAATCAAAATCAAATAAAGAAAATTAAGCTTAGCCTATGGTTAAGTGTTCAAAGCCTAGTAAACCTTAAATTACTGTTTAAAAACAGAAAAATTAAGTAGTTACCAGGCCTCAGTCATCTATAAATTTAGTTAAAAAATAAAAGTCAAATTGATTCCTTTTTATTTGTTTTATATATAATGAGGCTTAATATATATAAATTTTGATAACATTGTAAATTTTTTATTGGTATTTCTTTGATATTCTATCATAATTTAAAGTTTTATGCTGTGTAAAAAATCAATAAAATAATAAATTGTATGTATTGTTAAAGAGAATTCGCTCAGAACTTGAAAAATTCCATTGAAAAAAATATAAAGTTTAAATGTTAATACATTCCATTTATATCCATTTTATCTTGCTCTCGATTATAATTTCTATATTTACAAGTGCATATAAATCATCAAGATTTTTTTATATCAAAAATAATTTCAATGCTGCTTTCTTTCTATGTGATTTTTGGCTTACCAGTTACTTGGCTTTACAGATTCAATTTTTAAAAAAAAACATAGTATTAATTTTATTATTCTTTATCGCTTTCTTATATAAGGCCTGATATCTCTAAAACTTTTTCTTCTGGAAAAAGACGGAACTTCAATTCACTTGATTCTTTTTATTTAAATTTTTCCATCTTAATAATAATCTTTAAAGTTTTATCATCGTATTTTTATTGAACTTGGTAATATTTATTAATTACAGACAAATTATTGGTTACTAAGGACTTTAGATAGTTCTTGATTCAAAAGTTTGTTTTCTTAAGCCAGCCTTTCATTTTCAATTTCTTATTTTCTTACCTCTTCATTTCTATTATTTGACATTTAATTAATTTAATGTTTCCTAACATAATTAAACCTCACATAAAGCCAAGATCATTTTCAGTCAACGTCGATTACTCTGGAATGAAATCAAAGGCAAAAAGAAACATCTCACATTATTCTTATAAAATAGTAGAGAAACTACACGCATAACCAGCACCAAATGGGATTATAAATATAGTTCCTTAAAAAGAAAAACCAGGCTCATTAATAATAATCATTGAGAATGTTGAGGACTTTTTAAAAGAGATGGCTTAAAATCATAAATACTAATAATTTTTAAAGTTCAAAGATTTCCTTAATGAGAAATAAATTACTCAATTTTTTCATTACATCTAAAATTTTCTAATAAATTTATAGAGCTCGATGTTTGAACACCACTATTGTACTTTCTAATTAAATAAAAAACCTATTGACATTGAGACAGCAGACAGTAAAACTGTTTACGAAGTTATAACAGAATTTATGCTTCGGCATTAAAAACAGCATGAAAATCTTTATATTTATGGAGGAGACTTTTCATTAATACACAAATCGGAGTTTCGATAAATTATCTATATTTCTGAATAGAGAATTGAAAAGTAAATGAACCAAGAAATCAAAGTAAATGAAAAAGCATTTCGATTTAGGACTTAAATTCAAAGTTAAATGAATGATGCGAATTCTGAAGATATACTTATAGATAATCGATTGTATTAAATTGGCATGCATAAGAAAAACAAAGAGATTAAATAATATTTACAATAATAAAACATAGAGAAGAGAGAGTTAAATTAACCATCAAGTATTAATGATTTAATGTCTCTAGGGAATTCGAAGGAGTTATAAATTAAAAAGTTTATCGGTTTAAAAGAGAAGAAAATAGATTTAGCTGAAGAATTACCATAAATTTGTGAATAAATTTATGATAAATTTACAAGAATTTTCTAATTAGAATATATAAATGTAGATAAGGAAGTATTTTCTTAATTTTTATTGCTTTGTGAACTCACTATCTAATATTCTAAAAACCTAACCTTAGAACAATAGATCACTAGATTTAATGAAGATAATGAGAAATTTCGATTGCTAATAAAGAATGTACTTTATTTTGAGTTCAAAATATTAAAGTGCATGAACCTAAATTTACAAAAATTGTAAAATTGTGTTATTCAAGCATTATTGAAATTTATCAATTAAGATACAAAATCCCAAGAAGCACTCAACAAAATTTACTGGAATGCCTTCTTGAGATTCAAAACATTTTATATTGACTAAAAATGGACAACAAGTGATTTTCGTTATTTTTTGCTTTTGCTTAACGAAGAATCTCCACTTACTCTATAGATCTATTTATAATTACCAATCAGAGAATTATCAAAGGCAATTTTCTCACTCAGCGAAGACCTTCTGCAATAGATAGTATGGTAAATATTATATACTAAATAATTATGAATATAATAAAAGTTAAGTAATTATTTACTACGCATTAATATATTCCTTAATAGCTATCGTTTTATTATTTCAAATCTAGCAATTAAAAATTATTACTAATGATTTCTCAATCTCCAGGATTCAAGTTGACTCCAATGACTCCCTTAAGCATTCATCACAAAATGGAAATTATTGAAGATGAACCGGATGATTTAGAATTGGATCAATCCAAAATATCCTTTAATGAAAACCTCATTGTGTGTACATACAAACCATGTCAGAGTGTTACAATGATCTCAAAGACAATTTTGAAGCTGAAAGGGTAACCTAATACTGATTGGGTAAATCCTAGTCTTTAAAAAGAACAAAGAAAGAGATCAACCTCGATATTGAGATACTCATAATCTCCAACAAGAATCTCGTCAATTTACTTGTGATTTTATTTGTTTTATGCTTTAAATTTAGTCATTACAAAACTTCCTTCTTACTGAAACTACAACAAAGTAAAATCATATTATCATGTTTAAACTAAATCCTACAAATAATTTATAAATCATCATAAATTATAAATGAAGAAATGTTTTCAAATTGCCAATTATTAATCCAAATCACTTTCATCCAAATTGAAGAATTGTTCATGTCTTAGAAATCAAATTTAATTATTATTATCTATTTAAACATTTTTTCTACAGTCTTTCCATTTATGATATAATTAATAAATTCAATATTTCAATTTATATCTTAGACTTGAGAAGAGAAAATACAAGTTTATGACAATTCTACACACTTTTACATGAATAATAAAATATATGAAAATCAGTTTATTGAACTAATTTTTGCTTCCTTATTTAATTTATTTATTATTGCTAATTTTCTTCCAGAATTAATTAAATATTTTATATAAATAACATTAAAATTAAATATAAAGTAGTTAAATTAATAAAATATTGTTAATATTACATTTATTATTTGTTACTTCATTCCTAATATATAAAATGGAATATTAATCTTTATAACATTAATTCTTCCTTGTTTGTTTAAGAAGCTAGCAATTAAAAATTTTTGGATGAAGTCCTAAATGATATAAATAGAACAATAAAATTAAGAGAAGATTTAAAACTATCTAGAAAAATAACAGTTCTGCATTTTTTATTCTCTAACATAGACTGGTCAAAATTTAATAGTTACAACTTCAAATAGGGAGTTGATGATAATAATAGGGAGGTAGAAGCAAATTTGGAATAATCGTAAACAATTTTGATTTCAATATCTCATTTGCATTCCTGGGGGCATCATATTATAAGGCGTTGGCTAATAAGCTCCTTGAGGTGGGAGAATCAACGTAGGTTAGGGCATGTATTAGGTCCTTGTGCCACTCAATCCTAAACTATCAATAGTTTCTACAAACGCAGGAGTGAGTAAGCCTTAAAACACAGAGGAGTGTGTAATGAGTAATCTTTTGATTGTGTCTTTAGAGATAAAGGTTGGGATGATATTCTTCTAAAAGGATGCTTTCAATTAATCTACTAAATCACTCATTACAGCTCTATAATAGTCTTCTCTAGCACTAATGTGTTTTTTTCCGAGTGAGTGTTGTTTTCTTCCACTTGGGGAGGAGTGTGTGAGATAAATTCCGCAATATTCACAATAAAACTTAGGCATTTAAAATAAATAATGTTTGTATATATTTATTATGGAGGGTATTAAATAATTATTAATAACAATTAATAATATATATAACTTATGCAGGGGGCAAGATTTGTGGAGACCAACTTGGTATAGAAGATGCTGAGAAATCAAAACTACGATTTCCACAAAAGGAAATTGGATGAAATCTAAACGGAGTAATGATTATCTTGTATGGCTAATAGTAAGAAGGCAAGATTTGCTTTTAAGGATTTGCCTATTCTGAGTAAAACCTAGCAAATAAAGGCGAAATCTTCTAGATTTTAAAAGTCAGAATAGAGAAAAAGAATTGACGAATAAAATTAATATCTCAGTTCGCATATAATCGAAATATAAGAAGGTAAGAACTCTCAATTCAGATCAATATGGACAGTGTAAAATTTGAGAGAGAAAGCATATGTAATGGAATTCAAGAGAATTTTTAGGCTGACACTTCTCAATGGTGTGAGAACACTTTGGGTAAAAGACTTCATTCGCCTCTGAGAAGGAAGTAATAGCAATAGATTGATGAAGAAAATTAAGAGTTACAAAAAAGACTTGAATTAACCAAATAAATTTTATTAGAAAAGCAACAAGAACAAATATCTAAATATGAAAAACTTCGTGATCACATGACTCGAGTATTAAGACTTATTTACCTAGATCAAAACTAAGGGACCTAATTCTCCAATGACGAATACTCATTTTCCATCAGTAAAGAGTAAAAGCACTACTCAATTTGTTAACAAGCCATACTAATCTGATTCAATAATACAAAACAATAGAATGAATGACTTGTTAAAGTCAGAAATCAATATAAGCAAAATATCTAAATTAGAATGAATGATATTTCTATTCAATTATTAATATAATTTATTTAGTATATTATAGGACATAACAAAAAAATGAATGGGTTCATACATTATAAGATAGGAACTACCGAATAGAGTGGAGAAGGATAGCAATCATAGAGAAGCCTATAATAATAATAATATAGCAACACATAAATAAGGTGAATTTGAAAGTATATCTTTAGAAATGAAGAGTATCGAATTAAAGTAAGTCCTCCAGAGGCCGAATAAATAACGATAACTGATTAAGGTTCTTTTCAGAAAATAATGGAAGCAAAGGAAAGAGGTAATTTATATTCATTATTAGAAAGAAATAACAAATCTTAAGGAAAGTGTAAAGTCGTTAAACAATCAAATATAAGATCAATTTAAGGAGTTGGAATTGTGGAAGAACAAATACAGACAACTGTAATCTGATAAGGGTTTGAGTCGAATAATAACAACTGGCTAACCTACAAATGATTTGGAATTGTTGTAATTGAGAGATGAAGTCAATAAATTAAGGCAGGAGAGTAACCAATATAAATTGAAAACAGAAAGAAATGTAAGTGTGGTTTCAAATGATTTCGAAGTGAATTAATTGAAATAATAGATCAAATCTTTGGAAGAATAACTTAGATCTAAGTAACCTTTTCCATCATTCACTTCCTTAAGTAATAACCCTTAAGAAATCAATCAATTGAAGGATTAGATTAAAGCACTTACTCAAGAGAATGAAGACCTTATAAAAGCTAAGAATTTACTCAATTAGTAATTTCAGTAATCTTAAATCTAATGGTAGTAGAGTGCTTTGAGAAGTGCATAAAATCAGGATTCCGAGTAATCTAAAGCTATTTAAAATGAGAGAGATGATTTAAGAAGGAAAGTTACAGTTTAAGAAGATCGAATAGCAGAGTTACAACAAGAAGTTTAAAGATTAAATTTTAATTGCGATTCTTATATTTAAGAAATTTAGTAGTCTTAATTGAGATTGAGTTCGAAAGCCTAAAATGCTGAGATTGAAGGATATTTAAAAAGGATCTCAGCCTTATAGCATGAAGTCTTGGTTTGGTAAGATCGTTACAAAGCAAAAGAAATTTAGGAGCATTCATATGCTTAAGAGTAGAAGGTTTATTAGAAGGACAACCAGATTCTATTTTTATAAGAGAGAATTAAATAGTATGAGACTTAAATGGATTAGTTAAGATTGGAAATTGATAAATAGAGAAAAGAGTTTGATGGATATAAAACAAATTATGAAAGTAGAAGAACTGATTCAGGAGAGGTAGAGAGCTTGAAAAGGAAGATTGCAGAAATGGAATCTGATATTTAGATTTTGATTGCCGATCTCCAAGATAGAGAATAAAGGATAAGCATAACATAGACTGAATATGAGGAAGAAATAAGAATGTTGAAGAATTAGAGTTAAGGGTAATACTTAAATGAAATCAATAAATTAAAAGAAGAAAGAGAAAAATACAGAATGGATTATGAAAGATTGTCAAATGAGTATACGAATATTTAGAGAGTAAGTGAACAACAGAAGAGTAAATCTTATGAAGTGGATTCCTTAAAGTAAAGAATTATGGAACTGGAATAACAACTTAGAAATTCTACAAATCAATACTAATCTCTTTAAGGTTAATATTCCTAAATGTAAATTCAATTTTAGAGTTCACAGTAATAATAACAATCTTAATTCTAATCAGTTAGCATCCGAGAGGAGTATTAAAAATTGTAATCTTAATATAATATGCTTTAATAAGAAAACATGCAATTAAAACAACAGAAATAATAAATTGAGGGCAACTCCTATGCATAAAAGAATGTTCAGAGTGATTTTTAGGCTCTTTAAGAAAGATATAACTAGTCATTGAAAGAAATTTAATCATTAAATGAGTAACTAAAGAAGTATAGAAATGAGTACGATTCATTGAATCAAAACTACATTCAATTCCAGAGAGAGAGTGAAATTAAGTTTTCTTAAACAAATACTAAAGAACTTGATATTATGAAATCTCGAATTCAGCAGTATGAATAATAAATTCAACAATTAAGAAATTAATTGTCAAACCAAGAAAGCTCATTAGAACAATAATTTAAAGAGAGATTGAGGCTTGAAATATAATAGCTAGAGTAAAAAGTAAATAACAAAAGTACAATCGAAATTTAGACATTATAAAATAAATATAATCAATTGAAAACCTAATATGATTAATTGCAAACTAGATATAAAGAGTAAAATAATCAACTAATAGTAGTCAAAGAGAAGACAAGTTAATTTGACACCTCAAACCTTAGGGATCAACTATAACAGTATAAATAAGCCAACACGTAATTGAATTAAGATATTTAAACCTTGAGAGAATAAGTTCAAAAGTATAGAACCGAGATTGGATAAGCAAATTAAAATCATATAGTGATCTAGAGAGAAACTCAATTGAATAAATAAAACCAAGGAGAAATCGAAAAGTTAATGGCCAGGATAAGAGAATTGGATTTTGAGTCTCAGTAGAAGAACTCATAAATAAATCAATTACAAATGGATTTAAGAAATCAAGAAATTAGAGTTAGAAATGAATTGGAATAGTAGTTTATTTCTAGATTGACGATTGAAAGATAAAATTTGGAGAGCAAATTGTAAACGTAGAGTTCAGGTGAGACTCAAAATCTTTAATATTAGTTGAAATCATTACAGCAGGAATTAAGTCAATATAAATAAAGATGTTAATAGTTGGAACAATAATTTAATTAATCGAAGATTGAGATTACCTAATTTAGATCCTAATAGTCAAATGTGAATTTGGATTAGGTGAAATAATTGTAATAAAGAATTGCCAAATTAGAAAGTGAGAATCAAACTCTGAATATTGAGATTGAAAGATTGAGAAATATTAGACAGGAATAGGAAAATAAGATTTAAGTATTGATTACTAGTATCACTGATTATGAATCCAGATTACACATTTTAGAATAAGAAAATGCTAGATTAGATACTAGAAATAAAAAATAAATTGTAATTGACAAACCTAGCGATTAGTATTTAGTTAATTAACTATTGGGCTAAACCAGTTCATAGTTGAGAACTAATGTTATCGCTACAACAACAAATGTATAAAATGTTTAAGGTAGTGCTCTAGTAACTAGATAATCTGGATTTAATTAGCTGATGAGTTAAGCTCCCTCTTCCTACAATTAACAATATGATTAGTATAGATTGCAATCATAGAATGAAATTAAGCAAGCTCAATTTTCTTAGAGAATGCAAAGTCCATAACCTCAAGTTTCTAATTATCTCAGTCCAGATAAAAAGTAAAAATCTTAAATCATCTTTTATTAGTTTTCAAACTCAGAAGGTATCAACGACAAAAAGTGTTAAATAGGCGATAATGTCATCTGCGAATTAATGAATGATACATAATAATAATCAATTTATATTAAATGGTTTTTTTGAAGTTTAAATGAAGAAAACAATTGCTAATTTTTTCAGAATATCGAAAAAAAAGTTATAAATATTTCTTAATGAAAGGAGTCTTGCAAAAATAAGCGAACGGAACATTTCTTGAAGAATAATGGTCTGATTTGAATATAGAAAAAAAATAATGTCGAATTCTATTAAGAATCTTAATAGAATTTAATGTTGCCAATTTGAGTTTTCATATGGTGGTTAATTCATGATGATAATTATCAAGGATATTGTAGTTAGTTTTTCCATTTCCCCATTTCACAGATGGTCCATTAAAGAAATTCGGGTAGGCTTACTTTAATCCATGAACCAATTTTTATTTACGGGGATCATATTACTTAACTGGTATATCCTCCTTTTGTGACGAACTTTGATTAATGCTCAAGGGTTATCCATCGATACGGATTCCAGTACCTTGAAAGACTGGTTATTGTTCCTAAATAATTATTTTCTCTTGTTGAGCCTCAGAGCTTGAATTCTAAATTATCAATATTTTTGTAACATCCATGTCCTATATACATTGTATATAATATTACTAATGGGTCCATGAAATCGATATCCAATTCAAATTAGCTAATACAAATAGCATTAAATTCATTGATGGGTTCAACCTTAACGATATCTATTAAATAATTGACATCTTGGTACTTTATTGAAATTGTTTCATTTTAAGTGAGACATGTGAAATTCTTAAGATAGGATTTTAAGATATATTTAGGGTCAGGTAATTATATGAAAGCAGTTTTATGAGGTTAAACCTTTATGAGTCTGCCTAATGTATTGATACTTTCGAAAGTTATCGGAATTTTTAATCCATTAGTAAAGCCCATGGCATCAAAGATCCAGTCTGGTACTACACATGTACCTTTATCTGCAGTGAATTCCAGAACTCCTACATATATAGACTTCTTTTCGTCTAGATCAGATTATAATTTAAAGGTCAAGGCTCCACGATAAATTTTGCAGATATCTTTTAATGATGATAGAGGAAGAAGGATACTATTCCCGTTATTAATATCATTTTTTTATCGAGATGATGCCGAATAAACTTATAAAGTTCTGCAATAGCATTAAGAAATTTGATTCATTTAATTATATTTAATTTATATAAAACAAAAAATTTACTAATAATCGAAATCATGTAAATTTGGTTGTTTGGTCTCTTATAAATTATACCTTTTGCATATTCTTAATGCACTACAAGATAGTATGATGATGGAGCAGGTGGTTGTTTAGATTGTTTAACACAATGCGCAACTTGTACGACAGGGACGACTTGTGATACTTGCACATTGAGGTATTATCAATCGGGAAGTGATTGTTTAATTTGTGATCCTAGCTGCAAAGAATGCTCTGGAACTTCAAGTTATTGTACTAATTGCGATACATCCCAAAATTTATATTTGGATTAGGTAACAAATACTTGTATCGCATGTGATTCACCAAAATACAAGGATGGAATAAATTGCGTCGATACATGTCCTGTTTATATCAATCTAGCTGATTTCACATGTGTGGCTTTATGTGATTCGAATTGTTTGACTTGTGCAATTTACAGTAACTCTTGTACAACTTGTGATGCCAGCAATTATTTGGATTTGACTTCAAATTAATGTGTGACTGCTTGTGATATCAACTGCTCAACATGTCTGACAACTACAACTAATTGTCAATCATGTAGCACTGGAATGTACTTAGACAACATAACAACTGCATCAGGAACTTGTAAGTAATGCAATTCTCCATGTTCTGTTTGTTAATCTCCTTCAGACGTAGAAGTTTGCACTGACTGTTAAAGCACTTATTATCTTGATGGAGCATCTACCTGTTAATTGTGTGATCCAACTTGTTATGAATGTACAGGTTCATTATCAACAGAATGTTCATAATGTGTACTAGGAAAATATCTAATCACAAATGGATCTGATAAAAGTTGTGAAAGTTGTGTAGCGCCTTGCGATAATTGCTCATCCGATACAATTTGTGACAGTTGTGTTTCTCAGTATTATTTGAATGGAACTGCTTGTGATCCATGTACAAGTCCTTGTTTTACCTGTGAAACGACTGATACGCATTGCTTAACGTGTGCACCAGGTGACAATAGAGTTTTAATTAACAATCAATGCATTTGTGATCAAAACTTCTTTGACTAAAATAATGGGGATTATGTATGTCCTCCATGCGATGCTAATTGCAAAACTTGTGTAGATTCAGCCACGAAATGCACTAGTTGCTATGACAAATTTTACTTAGATTCAAATGTATGTCAGCCTTGTCATTGGAATTGTCTAACGTGTGTAACAACGGCTACTAATTGTTTATCATGTGATGAGGTTGTGAATTTGAGGATATTTTACAACAACTAATGTTTGTGTGTTAATGGCTAATACTATTCAGACTCACAATAAATATGTGCTCAATGTGTTGATCCATGCTAATATTGCTTAAGTGGTAAGGACTCAAATGGCGTTGATTATAATGGAACACAATGCTCCTCTTGCTAAGCCATCTACAATAGAATTATAAGTGGAACTATTTGTGTTTGTAAGTCTGGATATTTCGATGCTGGTTTCTTGGCCTGTCAGCCATGTGCATCATATTGCATCTCATGTCTTACAAGTGAAACGGATTGTGATGTTTGTAAACCCAACACTTTTAGAGACAGTACTAAAAAATGCCAGTGTCTAGATGGATATTTTGGAACATCCACAGTATGTCAGCCATGTACATCACCTTGTTTGAATTGTGAAATCTCAAATACTCATTGTCTCTCATGTATTACTGGAGTGAATAGAGTGTTGAGTTCCAATGCTTGTATTTGTGCACCTGGATATTACGAAACAACTACATCACCAAAGGTATGTCAACCATGCACACCTCCTTGTGCCACTTGCAAATATTTCCCAGATAAATGCTTCAGTTGTATAGCTAAATATTATTAACCATCTGGTCAGTTAACATGTTTACCTTGTGATGTGCCTTGTGAGGAATGTGCCCCCAATGATGGTACGAAGTGCAAAACCTGCTTAGCTGTGTAAAACAGAGAAGTGTTAAATCAAGTATGTGTTTGCAAAATCGATTATTACCAACTTGATAACGTTACTCCCTGTAGTTAATGCATAGCTCCTTGTTATGAATGTGAAGACAATGGAGATGGAACTCAATGTGTTTCGTGTAAAGCAGGAGATAACAGAACCGTCGATACCAATAAATAATGCATATGTAGTAGTAATTACTATTCATAATTATCTTCACTCGTATGTAAAGCTTGCATTAGTCCATGCTTAGAATGTTTAGATGATGCACTTGCTCTACCAGCAGATGGAACCTAATGTGTTACTTGTTAACCAGGACTGAATAGAATTATAGATAACATCAACAATAAATGCAATTGCCTAGATGGGTACTATGAAACAACTGGAGTTCTAGCTTGTACTTAGTGTTCTCCTCCTTGTTATGATTGTGCTGATAATGGAACAGGTGCTGAATGTACAACTTGTCCTCCTGGAACATTCAGAATTGTTGATCTACAAGTTTGCATCTGTTAAGATGGATATTATTAAGTTGGCACCAATCTCATTTGTAGTCCATGTAATTACACTTGTCAAAAATGCTATAATTTGCCATCTGAATGCCACCTTTGTGATCCTCTCAAACATCGCACAGCTGTTGGCAACACCTGTATATGTCAGGATAACTATTATGATAACATGACAAATGATCAAGATTGCAAGCCTTGTACAAGTCCCTGTGAATAATGTCATACGAATACTAATGGAACAAAATGCAAAACTTGTTTACCTGGGCTTAACAGACATTACTCGAATTATTTATGTATTTGTGATGATGGATACTTTGAATTGAATGCTACTTGTGTTAAATGTCATTCCACATGTGTGACATGCAGTAATTCATATTCATGTTTATCATGCAATACCACCTAATATGATTAAGTCACATTTAGAAATGGCTTGGCTTGTGTATGTAAACAAGGATTTGAAATGAATTAATCTGGACAATGTGTACAATAATGTCCTATGGATTGTTTAACTTGCAATGTTAATACTTGTTTAACTTGTAATAGTAATAGAGTCTTATTAAATGGAAGGTGTGTTTGTGCTTTACCTGATAATACAAGATTTTGCAGAGCCTCTTGTTCGGATATTAATTTTGGAAAATTAGCTGCATCTTTGACATCTCCAAGTTCTAATATTCTACTCTCAAAGTTAAATTCAAACTCATTATCTCCTTCTACTATAGTTATGGATACGATTATTGATTCTTCCATTTCTTGTTCCCTTATAAGTTCGCTATAATAGGGTATTATTTCAACTGATAAAAATAATTACAATTCTCTATTGTTCAAGCCTTAAGAAATTCAGATTGACCAAAGTCCTTTTGGCAATCAAGCTTCGTATTTTAATTTTGTTAAGGATAATGTTCGATATTTACTCTTTTAAAAAGATGCTACTACCCTAAATTTAAGAATGCAATACTAATTTGCTACAGTGGCAAACAATGAAAATATTCAAATTAACGCAGTACCTAAATCATCTCTTAATTAATAAATTATAACATTTAATGTTGATAGCACAGATACTGTTGTATTAGTGTTCACTTATAATATTAATGATCCTCCAACTATTACAAGTTCCATTATAAATAAAATTTATTAATTAAATATCCAATTGAGTTCATCTTAACCAGTTATTCTATTAACAGAATTCTATGTTAGCAGTGCAACCTTTAGCGCTGCTACAAATGCATAGTTAATAACTGTAGCAAACTATATAGGCCAATTATATTGGTAGGGCATAGCATTCGAATGCACTCCTCATCCTAAGAATACCAAATAAATCTTTTGGGAAAATCATCAATTTTTACTTGAAGTTATACCAACTAATTTATTGCCATTAAAAGTAACAGATGGTTCCAATTATATTTCAACAGCACTGTCTTCGAGTAAATTCACTGGAAATAGTGCATTGATTCAACTAAATAATGTAGATATTAATTATTAGACTACATCTATATAATATGATAGTAGTGGATTTTCATATTTTACTGTCTAATTTCCAGAAATATTAGTATTTGGATTGCATATGCTATCATAATTCATATTCAGCTAATTTACAATTTAGCATTTTATTACTACTGGATATTAAATTAACACATAATAGCTTACATATACAAGCAATAATTATTAATTTGTTGGCTATATGGTTGATATTTATGGTACAACATCTGTTAAGACTTTGATATTCGGTTTCAATTAAGGACACACATTTAATGTAGTTTAAAATGCAAATAATGTTTTGATAACTGTGAGTGGAGCTAATGTCAAATAGATTAATTTTGCAGTTATGGCTTTTGATGATACACTAATTAATAATTCATATCAAACCATTTTTGAATAATACATCTAATTGTTAATAAAGTCAATTGAATTATCTACTAGAACACCATTACGATTTGTCAATCAATATTGGAAATTGAATCCTATATCAATACCTGGGACAATTGAGGCTTTAACTGAATAAATAGGAGGATACTTTATAAATAAGGGAACAAATGCAATAAATACTAAATTTCCATTTGATATCTCTCATAAGATCAGCACAAATCTTAAATAAAATATTATCTATACTAATGGATATTTAGTAAATGGAGATTCAGCCTTTGGTAAGTTAACTAAGTACTTTACATAAGCGAATGAGAAGTTTGTTTTAGGAGCATAATTAAATAATATTCAGTATATTTCAATTTCAATGGCTTCAACAGATACATTTGTATCATGTTCATAATCAGAAACTTTGTATAAAGAAATCTATGCTTATGTAAGCTTGTGTAAGAGGACTGAAACTTAAGTTTATTAAATATTTATCATCAATTTGAATGAATATGATGGCTCTATTGTATTATCGTAAAGCAGTACTGAGGTTAAGATAAGCAATATTCAAAAAATCAGATAATTATATTACTTAATGGTCGTATCTAAAAGTTCTAACAATCTGAATACTTAGGCTATCATTTAGGATATTTATCAAGGAATCCTAAAGTCTACTGGATATTTTGGATTTGATTTTCAGTGTTTAGCCTACAATAACGATCTTTAATGTGAAACTTATAGAACTGGATACAAGACATCAATGAACAATGAATTTGATACAGCATAGAATTTAGTTACTGATGTTTAAAATATGAATGGTAAGAAATGCAATTACTTTAATTTTGACAATGCTGCAACAATTCTCAAAAATAATAAAAATACTGTAAATACACTGGTGACTACTCAAATTTTAAATTTCATATAACCAACAGTGAAGGATTACTATTTTTAATATGATGCTTTGGAGATTGGGAGATTGACATCATCTGCTAAGCCAAATGAATACCTGCTTGCTCCAAAGGCTGGACAACAAGAAGTTTAGATGATAACCCCTACATTTTTTGGTGCTCAATCACAAATTTACTAATATATTAAGAACATGTTGTCAGTGACTTTAATTGAAACGAATATTGATCAGATTATTATTGAAAATAAGCTTGCCAATAATAATCGAGGGTAGATGAAGTCAATTTCCTATTATTTCAGTAATTACGGTGTAGTATATAATTCAGTTTGTGTTACCACTTACGACACTTAAATCTTTCCAAATACTTTTGAATGTTTCTTAAGACCTTTGAATTCAGATTTTGATACTATTGATATGCAGTTGACTTCTCCTCTGCAAAGTTTAACATACAAGATAAATCAGAAAAATAACATTATGTTAGTATACATGCTATTAGCTGATTTCGGACAGACCCCCACTCCAGAGACCAAGATTTAATCAATTAGTCAATAGATATACGAATAAGTTTTGAATTCAGTTTAAAATGATCAATGTAAATGTTGGGGTAGATACAGATAAAAGGAGAATAATTGTAGGTGTTAAGATGGTTATTATCCACCAGCAGATACGGCATTTGGATTACTTGATTGCCAACCTTGTGATTATAAGTGTCTAACTTGTTAGTTCTCTAAAACATAATGCATTAGTTGTCCAGTGAATTCAAATAGAGTCTTAGACCTTACTTTATTTACTTGTGAATGCAAAACAGGTTATTTGGAATTAGGTGTTATTTTATGTAGTCCATGTAACTATACTTGTGGAAAATGCAGTGCATTACCTGAAAAATGTACTGAATGCGATATTCTGCAACATAGAACTTGGGATAGTACTAACTTTCTATGTCCTTGTAATGATGGTTATTATGATGATGGAGTCAATTCACTTTGTGCAAATTGTGATCATAGTTGTAGTAAATGTACTTAAGCAGGTAAAGTATGTTAAGCTTGTGTATTATCTGTTTTTAGAACTCAATAACCAGATAATACATGTCCATGTGATCCTGGATATTATGATGATGGTCTTCATTCTTTATGTTAACCATGTGATTACACTTGTTCTACATGTGTAGATACAGCAACTAAATGCACTGGATGTAAACTTAACTCCCATAGAACATTGTCTAATAATGAATGCATTTGTGACGCTCATTATTTTCATGTCAATCTAACATGGGATTGTTAATAATGTTCAATTTATTGTAATGATTGCACAGGGTCAGCTAGAAACCAATGTACTAATTGCCAAGCAATCTAGAATAGAGAATTAGTAGGTACAAATTGTGAATGCAAAATTGGATTCTTTAAGGACGCTTTAGATTCAGCTACTTGTCCTCCTTGTGATTATTCATGTAAGAGTTGCAGTATGACGAGCAATCAATGTTTGAGTTGTGATTTGGTTAATAATAGACTTTATGATTCATTTAATAAGATTTGTAATTGCAAGGAAGGTTACTTTGATGACGGTGTAAGTGGAGCCTGCTAACAATGTTCATACAGATGTAAGACTTGTGTCAATAATGCTAATTAATGTTTGAGTTGTCCCTTAAATACGAATAGGAAATTTGATGCTGTCACTAACACATGTAAATGTTAACCATCTTTTTCTGACACAGGAGTAGCTGTTTGCATGAAATGTCATGCGAGTTGTTAGGAATGTTAAACTACAACAACCACTTGTATATCGTGCAACATTAATAAAACATTTAGAATTGACAACAGTGCCTTAAATAATACTTGTCCTTGTCAATCTGGCTATTTTGATGATGGAATGAATATGGTTTGCAAATTGTGCCATCCTCAATGTAACACTTGTTCTAGTTTTTCTGTCTGCACCTCATGTAATACTCTTTATGGAAGAATCGATAAAAGTAATATCAATAACACTTGTCCTTGTAATGACGGGTTCTTTGATGACAACATCAATAAACAATGTTAGATTTGCAATTACAGTTGCTAAACATGCATTGAAAAGAATACAAAATGTGTTTCATGTAATACTACTGGAACCTAGAGATCAAAGTCTTTGGATTCTTGTCCTTGCAATGTAGGATACTATGACGATGGAACTGTGACTTGTCAACCTTGTAACTTTAAATGTCTTACTTGCAAATAGAATAGTGTTTCATGTACTTCATGTCCATCAAGCAGACAAGGCTCAGATTGCTCATGTAAGATTGGCTATATAGAAACTGGAGTCAAAGATTGTCTCGCGTGTCAATTTAAATGTGGACTCTGCACTTTGGCTGATTTAAATACATGTTTATCCTGCAACTTGAATAGAATCAATCCTCCTGCTTGTGACTGTGACACTAGTTATTATGAGTTAGATAACAAATGTTTGCCTTGTCCAAATTAATGTCTCTCTTGTGATGTCACCACCACTTGTTTCACATGTAAAGGTGACAGACTCAATAATCCTATTTGCAATTGTCCAGATGGCTATTATGAAGATGGAGTCTCCTTAAATTGCTAGCCCTGTTATGGATTCTGTGCCACTTGTAACATAGATAAGTGCATGACTTGTTAAGGAAATAGAATCTTGAAACCAAAATAATGTGATTGTCCTGAAAACTCTATCAGCCATCTCAACACTCCCTTTTGTTCCAATTGTCAAGTAGCTGTCATCTAAGCCTAATTCACTAGTGATTTAAGCATCATTTACATCACCTTTCCATTCAATGTACAATTTCCATCAGTCAAGAAGTTTTCTTCTTCATAAGCTTGTTAATTGACATTCTCAACCAGTACTTATTAGGCTCTAGGATATTCTCCATTATGTTCAATTACTCAAGGTAACACACTTCAAATTGAATTATCCGAGGGAAGTAGTATAACTATTGATTTCTAAATTGAATTCAAGGATGATTTTATCACGAAAACTGGATGCAGTGATACATTAAGCAAATTTATTTTGTCAAGCTTCACGTACAATTCAGTCTAACTGAATCCTCAATTTGAACTCTCCTCTTATAGTGATCAAATCACCATCTGTTAGGATATCCAAATCAATATTCTCAATAAGTAAGTGGATGGAAAGAGAGACTTCACAGAAGTTATTTGGACAATTGTTAATATGAATCCATCAATATAATCAGTGGCTTAATATCTATCTTAACTATTGGCAGAGGCTAATTCTAAAAATTATCAATCAATTAATATTGCTGCTCTTTCACTTAGTGAATATGGCACATATGTGATTTAACTGAAGGCTAAAAATTTCAGAGGATAAACTTATACTGCTCAAACAACCATATAAACTGCATCATATGAGTCACCAATTATTAAATTAGATTCAAATTAATAGTTTATCTTCGGAAGATGGGAAGACTTATCGTTTACAATCTAGCTCAAACATTTATCATGCTACTCAGATAAAGTAATTGAAGTCTTTGATGCTTTAAGAGTTAATTGGACTGAAGTCGCCAAGACACCAAATGAAACAGTTAGTATTCTCAAAGAATCAGTCATCTCTGAAACAGATGGCATGACATTTTTAAACACTTTGTTGATTCCAGCATATACAGCTGTCATTGGATCAACTTATACCTTAAGTGTGACAGTATCATTGACTAATAAACCAATCAAGACATCACTTCAATTTACAATAACAATAATTAGTAGTCCCATGCAGGCCTATATCCAAGGTGGAACAAGAACTTAATCTTTCAATGATTATGCAGTTCTGAATGGGTTCTGTCGAGATCCTGATCTTGATTTCCCATGGAATAAAGATCCAGATATTACATTCAATTGGAAATGTATCAATCTAGCCACTGGTGCAAGTTGCACAGATTCAAATAAAGAACTCCTAGAATTAAACGTAACTGAGTCAATCCAGACATTTAAGCCTAGAGTTCTAGATCCTTATTAGCCACTTTAATTTGTTATGAGAAATACAAAGCATTCAACTATTTTGATTACTTAAATTATTCTGTTAGTCATTGAAAATGATTTACCTAATATTTAAGTAAGTTACCCGTCAGGATATGATAGCAGATAAATCTTATTGCATGAAGAACTCAATTTTACATTAGATACAACCGTTGATCCTGATTCATTAAAGTACTTTTGTTAAATTGTATATAATTACAACATTGTGGCTTCCTTTACATTTAAGTTCCTATAAGTCAAGTTTCGTATTTGGGATTATTGGGAGGATACTGATCAATCAATTAATGCAATTTAAATTAAAATGGCTGCCAAAGATGTCTATCATTTCATGCCTTCAAGTACTTCGGTTAATTTATAATTGAATATACCTCCTGAAAATTGTAGATTTTCTGTAACTCCATCTACTGGAACATCTATTACTGATCTATTTGTATTATCAGTTACTAATTGCTTTGACTTTTAACTTCCTTTATAATATCAATTTCATATTTATTCTAGTTAGAAAACATTAGATAATGATAACTTAATAGGAGAAACAATAAATAAAAAATCAATAACAGATAAATAATCAAGTTCTTAATTGTAAATAGTATTGCCAACTCCTATAAATCTAGATAACAGTATTGCTTATGAATTAGTTCTGGTAGCTAGTATATATGATAATAATAATGGAATGAAAAATCTAACCAAAACAGTTAAAATCAATAGCATCTACCAGAAAATAGAAACATCAGATTTCTAATCAATTTTATTATAAATCAGAAGAGCACTCAAATTAAGCGACACTATAGATGAGTCAGCTCTTCCTTCATTGTTTATAGGCAGTCAAGAATTGTCAACCTTATATAGTTAATTGTAGCCAGAGAAAAAGGCTTAAATGAAAAGCATACTAAAAGATATTTATTCTATTTTATAATCATTTTAAGGTAAAATGACAAGCAAAGTTTTAGAAGAATCCCTTTTATCATCAATCGCAGCTATTGGTAGAACTGGGATCAATTATGAAATGGATGGAGCCAATGTTGTAGATTTCTATACAATAAAGTAATAGATTAAAAAAACTGTCAAATAGTTAAATAGATAAATAAATGATTTGGATTATTATTTAAAATAAAAATAAAAGTCAGGAGGATCAACATCAAAATTTGAAGATGCAATTAAAGCTTTAGATAATACCCTTCTTAATAGTGGTTTTGTAACTGATACATTATTTAATGCAATCAAATCTAATTCATTTTAAGGAGCAGATGTTACAGATGCAGATGTTAATTTACTAAAAGAATAAATTCAATAAATAAATAAATTAGTAGCAGTAGCAACTTTAAAGAGAAGTTTAGCCAATGAAAAACCTAGACAATATGCAGGTTAATAAATGGGTATGTAGGCCTACAAATCAACACCAGCTTAAATTGTTTCAGTCTTAGGTAATAAGATCACGCCTCTCTTTTTTGGAACAGAATCTTAGGCAGATGAGGATATATCAGGATCTGGAAGCAATGATAACTTGAATTTAGAAGAAGAAGCAGATGAAATAAATTATGATGAATATCTTTCTATGTTAAATGGAACTAATAGCACTAATAGTACAAATAGTACGAATAGTACAAATAATACGAATAGCACAAATTCAGGAAATAAGAGAAGACTTCTATAATTTGTTGAATGGATTTAAAACAAAAACAATCTTCATTATTTAAGAAATTTATAATAAATAAATCCTACAACTGTAAAATAATATGAAGTGAGTATGTCAAATTATGCCACAAGTCCAAATTTAAATGATCCTAAATTTTAAACTTAACTCAAAGTTAATCAAACTAATGATGTTACCAATTCATCAAATATAACTCATGATTAATCTATAATTAGTAACTTTGGTACTATTTAACCCAATATCACAATGACAGAGGATGGCAATAGTACAGAAATAAAAAGCCTTGATGGTCAAAGCATTAAGTTATCATTTTCGGCACCATAAAATGATAGCACCAATTCAACGATGGAATGCTATTCTGAGGCAAAAGATACATGGGAAACTGGTACATGCAAAATAAAGAAGGATGTGGATTCTAAAGGTAATATTGCATATGTTTGTGATTGTGTTGTTGTTAATCCAACAACAGTCATAACAAAATTAGATAGTTTTATTTCAAACAAATTAAATGCAGTGTTTAATGCTGACTCTTTGAACATCTTTTTATAAATTTAATTTTGGAAATATGCCATCTTTTATATTGCTATTGGATTCACAGGTGCTTATGTTGCTCTCATGGTTTTGGGATTAAGGAAGGATAATTAAGATTTTATAGAAGAAATCACCAAAGAATTGTAATTTACTGATTAAAACATTCCAGAAAACATTAAAAAATTGAAGTAACAAATCAATGATCTAATTATTGAAGAGTAAAGCAATGAAAACTCAATTGATATAGAAGAAGATAATAAGGGAGTAGTGAAGAAAGAAGATATGAATAAATTGGCTTTATTTACTTTAAAAGGATAAAGTGATTTGGAATTCAAAAAAGATGAAGAAGGTAATTTGATTATTCCTGAAGAGAGAGATAGCAATATCTTAAATTAGAGAGACATTCAAAGCTTATAAGTAGAACGAAATAAAGCTAAAATCAATTTCAAATAAGTTCAAGATTAGTTACAATAACATTAACTCTATAATCCCTCCACAAATAAGCAATAAGGAAGAGCAACAGAACTATCAAAGGTAATTAAAAATGTTTATACAATTCATGATTTAAAATATCAACATGGTTAAGATATCAAATTGAAACCTTTAACATTAAAAGTTCTTTGGGAAGGAATACTAGTAATTATATATATATTAACAATAGACCCTTCATAGAGTGTTGTCAATATTGATGTTATATGATGATGTTATTAGTAGACCTGCTAGATTTGCTTTGATTTATGCTAAAACTATTTTAGTGTTAGCATTATCAGCATTGTTTTCTGGTAATATGGGACCTGTTTATGGTACTTTGATATCAGTTGGAATTGGTTAAGTCATCAATGTGATTCTATCCATCATTACAGTTACAATGAAAGCTTCTCCAATCCTCAAATTTTTAGGAATTCTATTAACCATTGCAATCTCTGCTGTTTGCTGGTTCATTGTATTGATGCTTTCTGCTAGCATGGAAGAAACCTAAGTATTTGATATAATATTATTATAGGCCAATATATGGGCAGTTTAATTCGCATCAACCTAAGTTATTGATCTAATCATTGTAGAGTTCCTTATTATATCGATCAAACTTTCCATATATCCTTGGGCCATCAAAGCATTACATGATCCTGACGCGAATGCTTCTAAAATTCTTGCTAATTTACTGTTTATTGCAGTTGCTTAACCATAAATTTCAAAGTTCTTTGAGGTGGAAGATAAGAAAGACAATTTTGAAGCATGAAATTATGATCATCAAATTATTATTAAAATTCTATTTGATATTATTAATCGAAATTATTTGAGATGAAAATCAACTACTAGATATACTTAATATTGATATGATGAAAACAAACTCAATATTGCTTAGATAACAATTGTTACTAAAGAGCATAGTGTTTTATATTTAATTGATTATCCCTTTCTTATAATTTATTTTAATAATGACCTTTAAGATCATCAGGCACAATATCATCGACACCTTTGCGATTCTCTCCTTTTAACTTAGAATTCGAATTCTATACCTGTTAGTAAATTATAACCACAGTTGGCTCTATTATCTAAATTTTAGGCTCTAGCTAATTATCTCACTTAAGTCATCTCGTCTTGTCTTTTAAGTGCTTGACCTTGTTCATTTTAAGCATACTCTAATGTCAAAGGATTGTACGCCAATCCGTTTAAATTTCTTTTGCCTTGTGTAAATTACTCTTAATGATATTGTCTTTTCATTTCGTCCTGCTATGATGATAATAACTACTTTTTATTGATAAATTTCATTCCTCTACCAAATCATGCCTTCTCTCTCTAAATTAGCTAGTCTCCTTTATTCATATTATAACTGTTTTTATTTATTTTAATATTCCCTTTGCTACTTATCTTGAACAGCAAAATCCTTTAAGAACCTCTCTTATTCTAGCAGATGAATATTAAATATACCCTATTAAAATAAAGTAGTATTTGGTGCTGGACTATGTAAAAGAGTTTTCATATCTTCCCTTTAAGGCGTGTCAAATTCTTCAAACATTAAATAAGTGCTTACGTCTTGATTGTATTACGGTTTATTATGAATTGACTTCTTTTAAATAGTCCTAAAATTTAAACATTACACAATACTCTTTCTGCTCTGGTTCTTGGCTATTGATTATAATAAGGTTGCTGATTCTAAGGTTTGAAGATTCCAGCTCCATAACTCATTGAAGAGGGTTAGTAAACATCTTTAGGGTTGTAATCCTATTATTGAGAGAAGAGCATATTAATATTTATAATATTTATATAAGTATTCATTTTTTTTTTAGCCAGTCATAAAGGATCTATATTCCATAACATATCCAAAAAATTATAAGTAGAATAAAAAAGATGGTAACAACAACAAAACTGAATGGTGATAATAATATGCAAGCTATCGATAATAAACTAACATATGCTGTTTTCTTGCAACAATGATACTTCTAAAACTACTCAAAATGGACACTATTCATATAAATAATAGCAGGTAGTGCAAATGATAGAACGATGTATCCAATTATAAATCCAATCAAAAAGATGGGAACTCCAAATATTAGAACAAATAAAAATCTAAAAAATCTACATATGTTTGGATATTTAAAAGGGTCTCTTTGAGAAAATCTCATTCCAGGACAGCCAAATATGTTGTAATATTTATAGTGTTTATCTGTGAATTTCTATTTGCATAGCCAACAAAATTAATATTTGCACTATTGACAAACCATGTGATTACATTCTTCCCTTTTTTGAATAAGTGATCTACAGTTATCGCACCTTTATACTTTTAATTTCTTAGCATATTTAATAATATCTTCATCTAATTGATCTTTGCAAGATAGGGTTACATGAGATTTCCTATTGCAATGATGGCAAATATATTATCCACATGAACATTTGAGAGTTCCCATTTTACTTTTTCTCACAATTTCTTCACAACCAGGTCTAGGACACCAAATGAAATTTTAATCCAATTAGATCTTCCTCATATTTCTAAATCGCTTTAATTTTTTGAAATTTTCTTGATCTAGTAAGGATTCCAAAATATCATTATTGAATTTAAATTCGCAATCAATTTATGGACAATTGATTTCTTCGACTTATCCAATATTAATCTTCTCGATGATATAATTTTGCAGGCAATCTCTAGTATTATTTTTAAGAAGTACACACAAAAACTATGATAACATTCTAGTTTAATATTTTATTTCTTCAATTCATTTAAGCATATGTTGCAAGTTAGACCTAATAAATTTTCTTTTTGCTCCTTATAATTTTGATCATTTAAATAGCTAAAAAGATTGGGACTTGCTTTTCCTATCAATTATTTGATTTAGTCAAAATAATGTCCTTATTATTATTTCGATGTTGCTTTTGGAAATGACTATCTTAGATATTAAATACTGTACTTCCATTAATAGAATAGTCTAAATGACTCTATGTAAAACTACATTTTCATCATGTTGCTTAATGCATTCCTCAGCCATATTTTCCAGGATATATAGAGCCTTATTCTAGTCTAATCCTAATTCATTAATACGACTAAGGATGTATCTTTCTTTTAAATTCTTTTCCCCATCCTCTAATTAAGTAGGAAGAGAATTTCTTCTAGTTGCTTGAGTTTAATTTTATTCCCACTTATCAAATTAATCACAGTAATCTGAATGTGACTTAGTCTCAGGATACTCTTAATTAACATAAGAATATGACATCAATACTATAAAAATTATTTATATAGAATTCTACATTCACGAAAGGATTACTTTTTATTCATTCGATTTAATCAAATAATACAAATAAAGCCTCATTATGCAATTAGTATTATGTAAATTATTGATTTATTGTGATTCAAAAAGATTTAATCTATACTTTTAAGATGGCTAAAGCTATTTATCATAAATTATGATAGATTCAATTCATGATAATTTTGAGAAACAATACTCTCGTTGCCTTTATTTATGATCAGATTACTGGTGTAGAAACATCTAAAGGCAGATGTTGATCCTTTACTTTCACAAGAATTAAAATTATTAAAATTCTAAATATTCTTTAAATTGTATGATTCCAATAGTTCCATTAATAAAATCGGTTGTTTAAGAATCGTAGTAGTTATTTACTGCTAAAGATGAATTCGAAAAGAAACAAAATGAATTAATGTAATTAATAATAGATATAACTCAATCCTTGGATTAAGTGGAATACTTTGATAATATTCAAGAAGAGTTATACACTAACGATGAAAAGCAATTTATAAAGTAATGCAAAGATCTCTTGCACCAAAGTGAGCAGTTAGTCCAATAATTACCATCCAATTTAACTAAGTAAAATATTTGATTTATAAAACTTGAAGAATAAATGGCTATCTTTTTAGTAAAACTAATAACTATAAAGAGTTACTACAACATTTATAAGAACTAAATAAAATAAGCTCCTAAATTCGTTCATTAGAATTATAATCCTATGAAGTTTTAAAAACTGTGGTAGTTTTTTAACCAAGGATCTAATGTATATAATGATTCTAAATTATAAGCCATGCATGAAGTGTAGATATTTCTTAAGCTTAAAGCTCCTAAAGAAATATAAGAAATATTTAATTAATACCCTAGACATTTAAAAAGCGAATATGCTTTCAAGTTCCAGATTGATGATACTTTACTCTCTAAAAACGTATTCAATTTTTCAAGAAAGGAGTTTATGAAACTCCAATAAATAAAAAAAGATGCACAAATTTATACTATCTCAAAAAGGTAACATTGTTCATTAGAAATACGAAATATTTAATAAAATTTATATATACAATAAAAATCATAGATTTTGAAATCACAATTTACTCCTCCTCATTAAGAAATAAACTAAGAACAAGAGAATAAAGGGCAATTGTTTAGACTATATTTAGTAGTTAATGGATAAAATGGAATATCAATTATAAGAGATAAAGATTAAAGAATATATGTAGGATGTGGTTAAGACTTTTGTTTATAAGAAAAAGATAAAATTATTATTCTATAAAATTCTAATTAAGAGACTTTAATATCATATAATATTAAAAGGTTAATTATTAAATAATTATGAATCCTAATAGTGATTATAATTGTTAAGAATTAACATATTTTATAGGATCTCGTTTATAATTAATTATTTACATTTCTTATTAAAATAATCACAAAAAATTCAATTATTTTATTTTAATATATTTATTATATGAGATTTGGAAATCACATCAACAGATTTTCTTTAAGAAAAACATCCACTCTAAATTTCAAAATCTTGATTAATAAAAAAATTAAAATATAAATTATCAAAAAATGCTCTGAAAACTCGGCCCTTATGTATTATTATACATTGGTTTGTTATTTGATTAAAGTTATTACAGTTAATTTTACTTCTCTTAACATTATTGCTAGAAGTCTTAATGATTATTTGTGATATCATTGAATATTGGTTATTACTAGAACATAAACTAATTATTGGATTAAAGTGGGTTAACATAGAGTTGAACCATTTATCCTTCCCAGTCTATATTAGTTCTTGTGATCCTTGGTGTTTAAACATTAATTTATCTATAAACTTTATCAATTATAACACAAGACGGATCATTCTCAATCAAATCAGGGTCCAAATACGAATTATAAACGTAATACCCAACCTATGATGAAATTATACATAGAATAATTACTCTAAAGAATTCATGGTTCCTATATCTTACACTTAATATTATTGCTGTCGCGCCAAATAAATCTTCTTTGCTTGGAATTAACTCTAATTTGGGAGCTGCAGTCATTAATGTAAACTACATGGTCCCTTGTTAAAGAGGAGGCATTGAAAATTGCTCCAACACTTGATCATGCTTATCATTATTAGGAGACCCAATGTAAATAAGTCTAATATGTTGTCTTATTATACTTCCAATCAATTTCTTAATCTAATTGCCTAAGCACTTCAAAAGTGATTTGCATTTAGATTGGAGTATTGAAAAGTGCTGTGCTTTGGTCGAAAACAATATTTGTAATATTTATAAGTGCCATAAAATTTAAATAATAATAAACCCTCGAAATTTAATATCAAATTTTAATCAACGTATTTATATAAGCATATCTGGAAAACACAACAAACAACTTTCTATACCACACAAATTGTGAATGGTGGATTTGCATTGACTTCCATGCCTTAAGGATATTTAGATTCAGCATTAGATTATCATTTAGGATGGAAGAGACAAAGAAATCTAAAATTGAACTATACTTTCTAAAGATATTCGTGGTCTCTAATACGAACACCTTCAAGTCTTCAGATCTTTTCATTGTAGATATTGCTTTATAGCAGGCAATATGATTTAAATGGCCTGAAATACCATGTTTATCAAATGTAATAATCCCCTTTATATTGTTCTCATCTATGTATCTAAATGCTATTAATTGATTCATATTACTTCTAGACAATTTTTTGAATTTTTTCTATTGGCCACGTAGCAGTCATTGAATCTTATAAATCTCCATCATTTATGATGGTTAACTGAATAAGTATAAATTATCACATACTTTCTTTATCTTCAAGTATTAACAACACTTTTCTAATTCTGATTCTCTAATTTTTCCGATCTTATTAGCATTTCCATTTGATAAACACATTAAATGAATTTCATAATTGTTGTCTTGCAAATAGGTAATAGTTGGTAAAAAAAACATTGCTTCATCATCAGGATGGGCTGTGACTAATAAAACAGATTTATTTTCCTTTTCTAATATATTAATTATTACCTCGTTCTCATTCTATTGTTTCTTTGATTTGAAATACAATAGGACAAAAATTGTGATAAAGTTGGAAATTATCAATCCATATTTTAGAAGAAAAAGCAAATCATCATCTATTAACTCTTCAATAATATCAAGAAGCCCCATAATTATTGCTTAAAAATTAAAATTTTAATTTAATATATCAATAATACAATGTAATTTATATTTTTGGAGTATTAGAAACTCTATTCAAAATATTTAAGTATTTAAGATTTTTAATTTCAAATTTCATTAGTCTATCTTGGGCCCTCTACTTCTAATTTTATTATAAATATTTTAATTCTTTAAGTATACTCTAATCTTAGAACTGTAATAGCAATAAACACGATTTATTATATCAAGTGTATACTTTTGATGTTTCAGATATATATCTTAAATTACTATATATTATCTAATATAAGAATATATATTTAAGAGTTATTTATTTATTCATCTTTAGATATTTTATACAAAAATATTTATTTACTTTTTTAATTGGTAAGATAAATTAATATCTATTCTAGTTATGTTAATCCTCCCTTGTTGATGTGGTTATGAAGAAATTAAAAAATAAAATCATAATAATGATTATAATATTTATTCAAATGTTTAATTTTCTGTAATGTTTTTTTTATTGAATTTCGTGATCTATAGCTACTTTCATTAGTTCATTTTTTCTCTTATTTATTTATGCTTGATAAGAATCAAACTCACTCATAAGATCTTTCAATTCAAATTACTTAGTTTATTCTTTGTAATCCCTATTTTAATCTTCAAAATGTTTCTATAATAATTCTTTTTCATCTAGTGCTTTTTATAACTAATAACCTAGGTTGACTTTTTCATCAAATAGTTTTTCTATTTAATCATGTCTTTATTCTATTTCTAAGTCTTTTAATTTGACTTCATTCTCCAACATTTCATTTCTTAATTTAGATTGATTCAATTCAAACTCCTATTAAATATATTAAATAATTTACCATTTTCTTGATTTATTAATTATGATCAAACTCAACTTATGCCATAGCATCACTATGTTGATCTTTGAGTTCATCTATTTAAATTTTTAATTATTAGATTTCTTCTAAATACTTGTGTGTGTCTTCTTAGATCTTCTCTTCTTATTATCTAACGTCTATATCATAATATTCATTATATTAAGGGATGGTTACTTATTTTTTTTAAGGGATTTTTTCTTTTTCCTCTTATTCTAACGGTGTTACTGATTAATCACTTATTACACTTTTTTCATTAAAGTTAGGCTAAAACTTTTCAGCATTTTTTAAGTCTTCATCTTCTTAGACTTCAGTTTGAGTTGCCTTTTCTACTTTTTCTACTCCTTAGAATTCATCCTCTTGATAATCAGGACCAACATATTGTTTTCCTTTAGATTTTTCAGATCGATCATCATCAGCTATTTCAGCATTGATAAGATCTTATTAATCTTACTGATTTTCTTTATCTTTTTGGTCTTGCTTTTGTTACTAGTCCTCTCCTTTCTCATTAGCTTTAACATAAACTCTTTTAGGCATATAACTGTTAAATTTATCCATATGAATATCTTTAATATCGGAGGGTAGAACCTTGATATTATTGTGATAGTAATTGTAGAGGAAGTTGTAATCATTTTGCAACAATGGATCAGTGATAAAGTAACTATAAATATCAATGGATACATCGTTGTCGTAACTTGTGATGTATGTTTCTAATATATTTTTTAGTTTTTAGGACATCTCCTAAAATTGAGGTAGATTACTATATGATCTATTAGTATTATTAAAAAAAAGATCTTTAAATAGATTTGCTATAGTAATAAAATGATCCATATTGTAATCCTGATTTATAAACTATTCTTTAAGGTTGGGATTTAATAAAAATTTGGAGATAAACAAGTTCTTTACAGGGAAGGTAGCTTAAAGGTTGTCTGTAAAATGAGGAGCATCCTGTATGGTCTAATTGAATTAAGCAAGGAGATTGAGGAGATCTGGAGGTAAGCTGGCGAAGAAGGAAATAAATTGAGTTTCGACTATTGGTTAAACAGTAGCAAAAAACTTAGGAGGAGCCATTTTATGGTTAGGCAGTAGTAAGTCATCAAGCAGTTGTTAAAATTCAAAGTAAACAGGAGAGTATAACAGTTGCATATAATTCAGTAGAAATTGAAAGTAAGGATCACTATCATCCTAGTCCTTAAATAGCATATCCCTTTTGGTTTAGGAATTAATGTATTGTTTAAAAATATTGTGTATCATATCTTCTCCTTAGAATTTTAATTAAGAAAACTAAGACCTCTTGTAATTAGTTCTTTTCTTTGAATAAGCTGCAAAATATATTCTACCTAATGTAAAATGCACTTCCTTCACATTTATAGTGTCATTCTTCACGAATAAGAGTTTCTTGATAATCAATAATTTATTGCTAAATATTAACTTATTCACTTCTTCAATCTCATCTCTCTCAGCCATACTTTATCTTTCTATAATATATTTACTAATTCTGCCTTTGTTGGCAATGTAATCATCCAGCACTTGATCACTAACTTATTCTTTTTCTAAGATATATTCCAAAGTGTTAACAAAATGACTAAGTTGTAATTTATTTTAGTCTGCATCATTATAATTCATCATGATGTCTAGGGATTCAAAGAATTCAAAACTAGTAGCCATCCTTTCCAAGGCCTTAACAAATACTTTAACATCTAATGGAACGTAATTTCCAATGCTTTCCATTATTTTACCAGATTGCTAAGCCAATTGTGATTATTAACTTGTTTAATATAAACTTTGATGTATTTTTGCTCTATCAGAAGACTTGTTTTTTGAATATAAATTAAATATTAATCCATCTATTAAGAGTATGATTAAATCTATGTATTGAGTGGCTGGTTGATCAGATCCTTCATCAGCTATTCTGACTACTTATACCATAATGGCTGAAATAACTGCATCATAATAGTCTTTTCCTTTTACTTCGATGGATTATTTCCAAGTACTCTAAAAAACTTCATTTATTTATTAATTTACATCCTATTTCATATGCTCCTTATCCAAATAAGAAATTGAAAGCTTGCCGAATATTGTTTTCGATTTTATCAGATGAGAATTGATCTTTTTTTTTTTCAAAATTCATATTAATGTATTAATAATTTCTTATAATTTATATTACAAAAGCATGATAATTCATATTCAATTAAAGCTCCTTAGTATTAAAGGTTTTCATTATTTTAATAAATTCAATCCTATAATTTAAAAACTATATTGTTATGATTAAGTTTTAGTCAAATGGTAATAACTATTTAATTATAATTTGAAAATGTATTCAATTTCATCATTAAAAGTGTATATATCCTCTTATTCTTTAAAATTATCAACTCAAATTTTCAGTATTTAAAATAAGACACATCTTAATAATATGAATCCTATCTTTTAGGGTTTAATTATTTACATATACTTTCGGAATATATCATATTTATTATGTATTGTTTAATATAAATTTTGTGGTTATAGTTCTTATAACTAGTTCTATGTTTCAGTTTTCTATATATATCTATGTGTTATCATTATTATTTTAATAAGCTATATACTAACTAATTGCTTAGATAAGGCAAATAGAATTAGGGATTTCCGATTATGTAAATCTTTATTATTTTTAGTTGAGAATAAATTTTTATATAAAAATAAATGGATTAATAACAATTTGATTCTGAATTGCAGACATATTTTCTACACATTAAACATGAAATCAAATAAGAACACATAGAATATCTGAAAAAGCACCCAGAATTAAATTAGATATTAAATGATTTCACAAGTTAGATTATTTTGGAGAAAGTAACTTTTTAATAATATTTCAGCCTGATAATGTTTATCAATATGCTAAAGAATACTTCAGTTTCTTTAATCAAGAAAAAGATCTCAAGACTTGCAAACCTTTAGTTGTTTCAGGAGCCAGTGGAGTTGGAAAAGTAATTATAAGTTATTAATTGTTCTTAATAGGGAACTTTATTATAGATGCTTTTTAAACAATATCCACAATAATTTGTATTTAGCGTGAGCTACACAACAAGAGCACCAAGACCTGGTGAAGTTCATGGATAACACTATTATTTTGTTAGTAAAGAGGAATTCTAGAAAGAAATTGAAAAGAAGGCATTTTTAGAATATTGTGAAGTACACGGAAATTATTATGGGACTCATTTGGCTCAAGTACAAAAGGTGATGAAGTAAGGATAAGTCTGTGTGATTGAAATTGATGTTTAAGGTGCTGAAAAAATTAGCAAATCTATGCCTAATCAGTGTAATTATATTTTTGTTAATGCTCCATCTATTGAGGAATTGAGAAAGAGACTAACTGGAAGAGGAACAGAGACGGAGGAAGTCATTGAGAAAAGAATGAAAAACGCGGAGAAAGAGATAGAAAAAGTACATTAATTAGGATTCTATAATGAAGTATTAAACGATGATTTGCAAAAAACCTTTAAGAAACTTATTGATCTTCTCAAAACCTTTTATGTTGATCTAAAATTATGAAATGAATTATAGAATGTTCAAATTATACAAAAACAAAATGTTTAGATTACTCATCTATCATTCTTCCACTTATGACCACACTTTATGCATTCAAATGATATGGTACTCTGTTCGTCTGCTCCTCTAGTTTAGAATTCCCAAAAGAAGGCTTTGAGACATCCACATTTGTCGCATTATTCATCAGTAATTTATTTATTTTATTATGGATATGTGATAGGAGCAGGCTCTTTAGATTAAAATGTTTTTGTTAATCTCATTTCTTTGAGTGGGTGATAATAAATGCATCCAGGGCATTTTAATCGATATCCTGTACTAGATTCATTTTCTAAAGATAAAAAATTTGAGCATATTGGACAAAAATTCATTTAGAAAAATAATTAATAATATAATTATATTAAACATTTCTACAAATCAATTATTTTATAAAGAAAGAAATACTAAATTGATATCAAATTAACAATCAATAATAATTAAATTCAAAATTACACTCCTCCTATTTTCTCAAAAGTCATAATCATATTCATTTTCAATCTGCCATCCATTCAGATTTTTAAAAGTCTCTCCAATAATTGCATTATGTCTCATTTATTAAATTCTAGTTTTTTCTAAATTAATTTTAATTGGTTTCGATAGCCAATCACACTTCTCTCTAATTACATTTATAAACTACCCAAAATTCTTTTTTAGCTAGTTTCTGTGAAAGTGAAATTAGAACTTTTTTTTCTAGTTATCAAAGAATCTAGACACCTATCAGGTTGATTTTATATTGTAGAGACTCTATGCCTTCTTATTATGTTTCTATTATTTATGAAAATTTAGTTCAGCTACTTAGTTGAAATGCTTGATGCTTTAAATTATAATTTATTATTCTCAGGTTTTAGTTTAACGTTCTTTACAGAAGTATGAAATAAATTTTATGAACTTAAAATGGTAGGTGGTATATGAGATGAATTCGATTTAGTGATTTTTGTTTCAAAGATTTGTGGTTGATGGATTTAATGTTTTGTTTTTCTTCTCATTTAATGCAAGTAATTTATCTGGAAATAATAAATCAAATCGTCTGATGACACATTTCTTTAATCGCCCATATTTATAAATAATAATTAATAAATTAAATCTTTATTTCCATTTGTTAGAATATTTCATTTTGCATAATTTATTATTGAATCAACAGCTAAAATGATAAATACTCTGGTTACTTGCCTCAATAGCAAGTTACTTCACAATATTGTTAAATTATTTAGGTGGCTATGATATTTTGTTTAAATTCTTTAGTCAACGTTAAAAATTGGAATTGCAAATAAAAGAACACGCGCATTTGGAAGGCTTGTTTCTAGATAAACCTAATCACTACTAAATTAATAAGGCATATTTTGTGTTTATAAAATGTTATCTATTTCTTAATAATTTCTATCTTCAATAATGTTTCCTTATAAAATTATTCTATTGTCTGATTCATGCTTTTGAAATTAACCCATAGCTTACCTGAACTCATTCGTTTTTATTTTTGGACATATACCACCTCACTAGGAACTAAGCACTACATAATCCAAATCTTAAAATATTAGATAATTGGCACTTTCCAGGTTTTTACCTATTTTCTCAAGAGCTGTTCCTTTGAGTCATGTTATTTAAAAATAAATAAAAGTTAAGGTTAATTCGAAATTCTTTACTTTCTAAACAATATAACAAGAATTATCAAACAATATTTACATTGACAAGAACAGCGATTTAAACTTAAAATAGGTAAAATAAATACAAATTTTAAATAAAAATAAATGAAAATTAAAAAGGATCTAAATAAAAACAAGTCGAAAATAAAGAATTCACTAAATAAAACATTAAATTTTAATAATTAAGATTGATATAATTTCAAGCTTCTAGATTACTTTCAGGTTTATCTTCCACCTCAAAGAACTTTTAAATCTAAGGTTGTGCCACAATTATAAAAACTAAATTGGCTAGGATTTTAGAGGCACTTTCATCTGGATTGTTTAAGGCTTTGATGGCCCAAGGATATATGGATAGTTTTATTGATATAATAAGGAATTCTGCAATGATTAGATCAATGACTTATGTTGATGCGAATTAAATTGCCCAAATATTAGCCTATAATATTACTATATTAAAATACCTAAATCTCTTCCATGCTAGCAGAAAGCATCAATACAATGAACCAGCAAACAGCAGAGATTGCAATGGTTAATAGAATTCCTAAAAATTTGAGGATTGGAGAAGCTTTCATTGTAACTGTAATGATGGATAGAATCACATTGATGACTTATCCAATTCCAACTGATATCATAGTAGCATAAACAGGTCCCATATTACCAGAAAACAATGCTGATAATGCTAACACTAAAATAGTTTTAGCATAAATCAAAGCAAATCTAGCTGGTCTACTAATAACATCATCATATAACATCAATATTGACAATACTCTATGTAGGGTCTATTGTTAATATATATATAATAATTACTAGTATTCCTTCCCAAAGAACCTTTAATGTTAAAGGTTTCAATTTGATTTCTTAACCATGTTGATATTTCAAATCATGAATTGTATAAACATTTTTTATAACATTCGATAATTCTGTTGCTTATATTTAATGCTTATTTGTTGTAGGATTATAGAGTTAATGTTATTGTAATTAATCTTGTACTTACTTAAAATTGATTTTAGCCCTATTTCGTTCTACTTATAATCGATAAATGTCATTCTGATTCAATCCTGCATGTTCTTCGTCAGAAGCAATTAGTTTCCCTTCTTCATCTTGTTTCAAATCTACATTTTCTGGGTTTTTTAAAGATAACAAAGCTAATCTAGCAAATTCACCAGATTAAATAACTGGTTATCCTTCTTCTTCACGTTCTACAGAATCTTCCATGCTCTTTTCTTCTATAACAATGTCATGAATTTCTTTTTTTAGATTTTGCAAATTAGGATTTAGATTGGTGTTTACATTTAATTCTTTTGTAATTTCTTCTATAAAATCTTAATTATCTTTCCTTAATCCTATAACCATGAGTGCAACATAAGCACCTGTAAATCCTATGGCAATATAGAAAATAGCATATTTCCAAAATTAAATTTATAAAAAGATGTTCAAAGAGTCAGCATTAAATACTGAGTCCAACTTGTTTGAAATAAAACTATCTAATTTAGTGATGACTGTTGTTGGATTAACAACAACACAATCACAAACGTATGCAATATTACCTTTAGAATCCACATCCTTCTTTATTTGACATGTACCAGTATCCCATGTATCTTTCAACTCGGATACGCATTCCATAGTTGAATTGGCACTATCATTTTATGGAGCCGAAAATGATAACTTAATGCTTTGACCTTCAAGGCTTTTTATTTCTGTGCTATTACCATTCTCTGTCATTGTGATATTTGGTTAAATAGTACCAAAGTTACTAATTATAGATTAATCATGAGTAATATTTGATGAATTGGTAACTTCATTAGTTTGATTAACTTTGAGTTAAGATTAAAATTTAGGATCATTTAAATTTGGACTTGTGGCATAATTTGACATACTCACTTCATATTATTTTACAGTTGTAGGATCTATTTATTATAAATTTCTTAAATAATGAAGATTGTTTTTGTTTTAAATCCATTCAACAAATTATAGAAGTCTTCTCTTATTTCCTGAATTTGTGCTATTCGTACTATTTGTACTATTCGTACTATTTGTACTATTAGTGCTATTAGTTCCATTTAACATAGAAAGATATTCATCATAATTTATTTCATCAGCTTCCTCATCTAAATTCAAATTATCATTGCTTCCAGATCCTTACAAATCAGTACTTGATGTATCAGAGCTGCTTCCAAAAAACCGAGGTGTTATTGATCCACTTAATATTTTTGTGATTTAAGCAGGTGTTGATTTATAGGCTTACATACCCATTTATTACCCTGCGTATTGTCTAGGCTTTTCATTGGCTAAACTTCTCTTTAAAGTTGCTACTGCTACTAATTTGTTTATTTATTGAATTTAGTCTTTTAATGAGTTAACGTCCGAATCTGTAATATCAGCCCCTTAAAATGAATTGGCTTTAATAGCATTAAATAAAGTATCAGTCACAAAACCACTATTAAGAAGTGTATTATCTAAAGCTTTAATTGCATCTTCAAATTTCGATGTAGACCCTCCTGATTTTTATTTTTATTGTATATAATAATCCAAATCATTTATTTATCTATTTAATTATTTGAAAGTTTTCTTAAGTTATTGTTTAATTGTATAGAAGTCAACAACACTAGCTCCTTCTATTTCATAAGTGATACCGGTTCTACCAATAGCAGCTATCGATGATAAAAGGGATTCTTCTAAAACTTTGCTTGTCATTTTACCTTAAAATGATGATAGAATAGAATAAATATCTTTTAGAATACTTTTCATTTGTGCCTATTTTTCTGGTTGTAATTAACTGTAAAGCGTTGATAATTCTTAACTACCAATGAATAATGAAGGAAGAGTTGACTCATCTATAGTGTCGCTTAATTTGAGCGCTCTTCTGATTTATAATAAAACAGATTAGAAATCTGATGTTTCTATTTTTTGATAGATGCTATTGATTTTAACTGTTTTAGTTAGATTTTTCATTCCATTATTATTATCATATATACTAGCTACAAGAACTAATTCATAAGCAATACTATTATCTAGATTTATAGGAGTTGGCAATACTAATTACAATTAAGAACTTGATTATTTATCTGTTATTGATTTTTTATTTATTGTTTCTCCTATTAAGTTATCATTATCTAATGTTTTCTAACTAGAATAAATATGAAATTGATATTATAAAGGAAGTTAGGAATCATAGCAATTAGCGACTGATAGAACAAATAAGTCAGTAATAGAGGTTCCTGATGATGGGGTAATTGTAAATTTGCAATCATTGGGTGGTATGTTTATTAATAAATTAACAGATGAAGTGGATGGCATATAATGATAAATATCTTTGGCAGCCATTTT